CCATGTAGGGAAAAAGTACTTCTATTTATATTTGTGGATATTGTAAAAAACTTTTTCTATCAAGACCCTTGAACAGAAGATGACCTGATGATAAAAGAAAAGACATACCCAATTGTTTACTGCACGGTTCATCATGCTATAGCGGTGCCTTGACCGATTGGATCGGTGACAGGAGGTAAGTGGATTGATCTAACTAAAGGTTCCTTGACCCGTACTTCAGCAGTTTCATTATAACTAACGTGACGGACAGGATAAACTATTCCTTAATTCTGCCGACGTCTACGTTTCAGTCTTATTGAATTCTGTCAGAATGTAAAGGGTTAAAGTAAGGATCAACAAGTTAGAAGATAAATGCTTAAGTATATTAGATTTATGTATTGTGGTTTGATCTGTTAAATAAAGTTATCTGATTTAATCAAATCCAAATACTATAATATCTTATTTCTAAATGAAGTCAATTATTCATCCAATGTTGTCTCGGATATACAGATGAAATGTACTTCCGTAAAAGAAAAGAATTGTTCTAACAAATCTATCACTCACGGATATTCTAACCTTCATAAGGATCCGCAATCTCTTATTTCAGTATTATGTAATAATCCAAGAGTAATATGCTGTTGGATACAACAAACTTTACCTCGCTGCTAATATAAATCGCTCTCTGATATTTTAAAATTCCTTCTAAACCTACCAGTCAGAAGCTTTATGATCTTGTCGTGCTTGAAATGATAGCCTCGTCAATTAGTGCAAGTTTTATACAATTCAATAATACTTTTTAAAAGGGAAAGAAAGGATTCCGTTTATTTCTTTTGCAACATTCGTATTCTTATAGGATTATTACTGTTACATTTACTGAAGTTTTATATACCGTAATTTTGTGGTACGACAATCTTTCGAAAATCCTGCGCAAAAATTGGAGTATTTCATTGGACGACTTAAAATTTTATCTTCAAAAACCAATTTAAAATAAAATGATTCCGTCCGGATTCGAACCGGAGACCGCCTGTGTGTTAGACAGGCGTGATAACCAACTACACCACGGAATCAGATATTCTTTGCAAGTGTTTATAAATATAATGTACCGAACCAACTGATGATTGAAGATGGATCCAACTTGAATGCTCTTTATTTGTCTTTCAAAATCTCTATCTCTTTACATGTTCAAGGTATGTAAAGATTATGTACATTATCTGGTAATTTTACTAAATTAATATTTAACATTACAGTAGAATTGCAATTAAAAGCTCATCTACATTTTTAAGGGAATATTACAGTATAATACAAATAATTTTTATAGCCATCGGATTTTATTTGATCTATCTATGTTCCTATGTCACACCCCATTATGTTAGTAACCACATATACACTACAGTATAACCTGTACATTTACTGTAATTTAAAGATCAGTGCTTATAGATGAGTTAACAAACAGTATAAGTAGCGACAATGTGAAATTGTGTTATGACGCCTTCTAGGCGAATACAATCATTAGAGAGGTTCACCTCTTTAAGTTATAAATACAGCTCACCACTGTAGTTAAAGATCCTCAGTGTTTTTATCCTGTTCTTTCTTACCCTCACATTATTTTCTGCACATCTGTTTAATAAACGTTATTTGTTGTATATGGTAGAAATAGATCATAATAGAAAGAAAACAAAAAGGAAATCTGTGAAGACCAAGTTATCTTCTTTTATTAAGTAGAATATTCAGATAAAGAATGAAGACAAAAACCATGTAGGAAAAAAGTACTTCTATTTATATTTGTGGAGATTGTAAAAAACTTGTTCTATCGGGACCCTTAGGTACAGTACAAGATGACCGGATGATAAAAGAAAAGACATACCCAATTGCTATAGCGGTGCCTTCACCGATTGTATAGGTATAAAAAGGTAAGTGATCAGCTGATCTGGCTATCGGTTCCTTTAACTGATACCTCGGCAGACTCATTATGACTAATGGGATGGATAGGATAAATCACAGTTGGTGGAAAAATGGTCCGGACGTTTTACAACTTTTACGTTTTTTAGGTGCTACTTGATGAATTCTGAGTCAATTAACGTAAAAATAAACAGCAATAGAAAAGAAAAACTCTGTTTTATTATGTGTGAAAGTTTCACATATTCTTATTGGATATCGGTGTCAAAAATAGTATATTCATCCGGACGACCATTTTTCAGGTACCATAACTGTTGTATTTGCTTAATTAAAGATTTATAACTGTTGTAAGTCGATGACTATGAACTTGAGTGTCTTTATTGTTCTTCAGATGAAGTAGAAGGAATATTTACTCTGTGAGGTTTAATGGGAATTATATTATTTGAGGACGCGTATGCTAGCCACTCATTTCAGGTTCAGATGCTTATTGAGTGATTATTATACTTATAGTAATTATGACTGATTTGATTATTTTCACTGTTGATCAACGCCCTTTCCGCCAAAATGCACCATGAATTTCAATCAACAGAAACTATTTCTTTTCTTATTTAAAGACAGCTTTATTGAAAATGTTAGTAGGGATTAATTATGAGTTACTTCTATGATAATACATACTTAAAGGTACAATTATCGTTTATGTTTTTTGCAGCTATTAGGCCTTAGTTTTTTAGTTGTGAAAGAGAGGAGAAAATTGCCATATATTGTCTTTTGATATTGTCTGTATAGTTTTTGAACTAAACTATAACAAGGTATTTTGTCGAATTTGGCGGGGCCAAATCAGTACGTCTTCTGAACCGTAAAAGAATAGAATTCTCCCTTGAGGAGATTACGCATCTACCTGGAGCGGGTGGACTTGTAAACGTATCCATGTCTTGATCTAATGATCATGCAATTAACCTATTTTCCCGTGCTAACCATTATGTAGCACTGCTTGCAGGAAAATAGTATGAATGAGGAAAATGGTATTCGTGCGTGGTGTTTGAGGTGAGTGAACAGTTATTGTAAAGGATGATCACAAACTATTATCTTGTAATCATTCCTTATGCCGAAGGCAGAGAATAGTACTTATAACCTATTATACCTTGGTATTGAATCAATATATCCTACATGTCCTTGTATGTTGTATCCAAGATACAACTATACGTCTTAAACTACAGAACGATTTCAGTACCTGCTTGACAATCTGATACACATCTACTTTGGCACCCGCTTACGGCTAAGATCTCATCATTCTCATGATAGTTTTAGTTCAGTTGTATTCATAGTTGAATACCCGTTCATAACCCCGTTTCTCATTTAAAAGTATCATTCTCAACAAACTTGAATAAAGAGTATCTTTGTTGTGTCTGGTCATTTTACTGTCTTATTTTATAAGTCTTTTAAAGTAACTGGTTATATCACTCTATTCGTTTCCTACTCTACTTTGTATTATTTCAGCAGTAATGAGATGTAAGGATCTTGTATAATTTATATACGAGTTCTCCACATCTCATATGATGCTGTCAACCAAACACAACACTTCATTCACGGTACTCATATATTAGAGTTTATGTAGTTTCGAATTATTTCTGGTTTGCCATAGTGTATAATTCATCTTTATCCTTCATAAAGTGAATTAGATCTTTCATATTTGTATATCATCTATCCTCAAATACAACAGGTTCAATCAGATTTTCTAAAGGAATGCTGCGCTAGTCCTTGGACTGTGGTAAAAATCTCGAACTCTTAGGAAAAACGGGCTTTCCACGTCATTCTGAAAGTTAAGCAGATCGAACGAAAAACAAAAATATTTGGGTCACTTGACGGTTACAGTTTCATCCTATCAACCATTCACTTGGCTTTTCTTTTTTTTTTTTTTTCAATTTATACTAATACAAAAGCTACTAAAAGGATTCGAAAAAAGCAAGTTCTTTATGTTACTTTAACTAGAACATCAAATAAAGCTGTCCATCTTTAAATTAGATAACTCAAAATCAAGCATGAAAACTCAAATCACAATAAATGAGGGGGAAATAGCGAAAACGAAGGGTCGATTGCTTTTACAAATAGAATTGGGAAAAAGGCTTTACCATTTCCTTTGTTGGCATCAAGTCAATATTTCTTCCTTATGTATTCAAGTAGTCTATATTCTAACAAAAAGTCATACGTCACTTTATTCAAGAATAGATAATACCATCTTAGAATCGAAGAGTGATGGGCTTTTTGTCAAATGCTCTCCTTTCCTGCATTCAAGTATATAATGAAAGGGACGAAGGGAGACTCCTTCACACTTCATTTTGACTATTTCATGTTGAACATCTCTCTTTCAAGTTGTTGCATTCTTGGTACAACATTCATCTTTCAACGTGAACATCGGATAGTACAAGTTCGATGGATAGTGTGGAACGATGCATCTGTTCAGTTCCTTGTTGCTAAAAAGATGTTTCATCGAGTTTTGCGGTGTATACTCATTTGCTATAGCTGGTTTCATAAATCTGATCCGATTGCTCCGATGCACGAATGGAAGACTCCATCGGATTCCACTTGACATCCAATGCAACACTTGTCTGGTCATCACGACACTAGACACACACACACACACACACACAAATGACTCAAAGCTTACTGAAGAGCGATAGAAAAAGAGAATCCATTAAAACTTGTTTTTTATTCCTGGATGATGAACTGTCGTTTCTGTTGTTGGATACGGATAGATGAATGCTATGGAAAAGTGGACTGTTGTCAGCAACTACGCAAACAGTTTTACAAAGAGTATGATCTACTGTAACCGTGCCCGAAAGACAACTATCTCGAGGAGTTGCACTCTCACATGCATGCAGTGGATTTAGGGTGCCTATTTTATGTAGATGATGATGGTTCAAGTTGCGTTGGCAAGGTTTCAGAAGCCATTCTTATCTTACATTACGCATCCATTGGCATAGTCATGTAAGAGGATGAGGTAAAAAAGTGTCCTTTATTTGACGGTGTTCTGTCCTTCTTGACAAGTTGGGGTCAATGATGAGCGACGGTGTGCTCAAACCTCGCACATGCTATTGTTTGTTTTTTTATGACAAAGAGTGGGTCTTTTATTTAATTTTTACAGCATCTATCAAAGCACCTTCCGGTTCTTTCATGCAACTAGGAAAGAATTCGAGTAAGGATTGGAAAACAAAAGTACGTGCATCATAATGACTGGTGCTGGTATTTTTCTCTGTATGGAAAAGAGTAGGATGAGGAGGATGAGACACGTTTGTTTCATCCTTGGCATGCATCTTGGTGGTACTTGCTGTTGCTGTGGGGGAGGAAGGTGCATCGTTTGTAGCCATACAGAGATGGGTGCACAGGAGTTGAAACTGCTTGAGTTCGCTCTTGTTATGATGGTCTACGATGGGTGCTACATATTCCCTCAAATACTGTAGGATGTGCTTTTTCTTTGTGAATGCATCTGTTGTATTCAATGCATTGTTGTTGACCTCTTCCGATAGTTCTTGTAATCTCCTTGTGCGAAGAAGATAGAGACAATGACGTGCAATTTGTGCCGTATCAGGTCTATAGCCGACAGAGGGGTTGTTCATGAGAAAATAATCTTTTTTTTTGTGAAAAAAGTAGAATAAGAAAAAACTTACTTTGTCAATTTCAACTCCCAAAAGTCGTCGAGTCTTTCCGTTGGTTTTTCAATATCACCAGGATGGCCACCAAACAAATAATGCGTCTTTAAGCCAGGATGGTAGACCATTTGGAAGGTGTACCGCGGACAAGGTTCATTGTCTTCCATGGGAGCCAGCCTTTTGTTCCGAGTCAGCGGCTGGTGCTGCAGCAGCAGTGGTTGCTGTTGCTGTTGCTGTTGCTGTTGCTGAGGTTGATTTCCATTTATATCTATACTGATCTTTGATGATGGACGAGGGCTGTTGTGTCTACTGCTGTTACTCTTCTGAGATCCTGCTGTGACGATCTTTTCACGCTCAAACACTTTTTCCCACTGGTTGGTTTGAATGCGATAGACCCAAAGGCAATTGCTCACACTACGGTTGGGTTTATCTTTGACAAAGCCTGAAGCAATATACAGCTCTTGACGATCCATGTCAATCGAGGCGCGTTGCGTATAGCCTGAATTGGAACCGAACTGTCGAGCGAAATCTTGAGCGATTTCGACTAATTTATCTTGTTCAATGTCGTAACGGAAGAGCTCGGACAAGTTCTCTTTTGAGCCTCGCTGACCGCCAAAAATATAAAGACAACGTGATGTGGAGTCGAGCAACATGGAATGTCCTGTACGTGATTTGATGCTTGTGGACTGTGAAGGAGAGGGAAGGATATAAGAACCGTTGCTAGAGCGTCGACGACCGAAGGAGACACCGATGGAGGTCGGGTTGGTATGGGTCATGGAAGGTGAAAGGAAATGGGCTGTAGTTGGATCGGGAGAGGGGACGGTAGGATCGACGGCGGTGGCAGGGGGTAAAACTGGACTTGGCATTTGCTGAGGGGTGCTATTCATATCATGTCGGAGGATTCTCCATTCGGAAGTATCCAAATCATAAGCATAGAGGCCACCATAACTACAGAGCGTATCTTGCGAAATAACACGACCGCCAAAGACATAAAGTGTTCTACCCACTGGATCCACACACATTTGATGATCACATAAAAGTGGAGGACCCCCTTCAAGCTAGGAGGGAAAGAGGCATGAGCACCTGGGGAGACACGCTTATGCAATCGGAAAAAAAAAAAAAGATACCCATGATAAAAAAAAACATACCAGTGTATTTTCGCTCAATATTTGCCATCGATCCAATTCTGTAAAGTATTGAAAGAATTCCGAGTGATAGTTCACGGTGGTTTCAGTATCATGGATGGTAGTGGTGGGATGACTTCCTGATGCGGTGGCAGCATTGCATTTGGTGGTTTCAATGTACCTCCCGAGAACAAAAATAGATTTCTTCAGAGGGTCAAAGCATATGGTATGACAGGATCTTGCTGTGGGGCCACCTTGCTGTGAGGTATCGGAACTGATGAGTTTCCATCTTTGAGAGGGTATGTGATAACACCAAAAATCGGCTAATTCTCTTGTTCCATCCCAACCACCCAACAGGTAGATTTTGTCATTTTCAACGTCGATACACATTTGATGACCGCCTCTTGCGCAAGGAGCATCACCATCTTTTGAGAAAAAAAGAGTGGGGGGGGTTTTCATCAGTGTCCGGCCCGTAAGAGCACATGAAAAGAAAGAAAGAAAAAGTGCAGTTACCATCATTGGTAGCATTCATCCACTGCCAATGTGCTTTATATTTCGCCTGTTCTACGTATGATTTGAAAATGTTCATTTCTTTATCCGCTTCTAAAATCAAGTGTTCAGCTTTATCAAAATCTCCTTCGATCACGATCGACTTGTGCAGCTGGTGCACTAGAGGATGTTCCAACTGAACTTTTGTGCTTTGTTGCAACATATCATATAAAGACATCATGTTTTTTTGTCGGAAATGTTTTAGACATAAGCGGATCGTTTCCAATTCTATATACTGGAAAGGAAAAAAATCATTTGTTTTATGTTGCTTTCAGTGAAAAACAAAAAAAAAACCAACCCGTAAGTGTGCATCTCCCCGCTTCTTACCTTATTGTACGCGTTATAAATTTTGGACATGACTTTTTCCTCTTGGATCCCTCTTACTTCTACATACCAAATACTGTAATTGAAATTTGCTCCAAATGTGGCCATGGGCTTGATCTTGATGTATTGAACAGGAAAGATCTAAAAGAAATTGATTTTCGGTAAGTAGTACGTTCAACCCACCAAGAATGACCCATTAACTACAGACCAGATCATGATAGGTGTAGCGAAGTGGAAACACTTCAGGTTGATTATCATCAGTGAGACCCTTGTGTAATAGTTCTCTCATATCGTTGGGGTCCATGCCACCATAGATTTTGAACTCTTTGAGATTACAGACATGACTTCTATGAAACTTTCCAAAAAGAATCTCGCCTGTTGCGAGTTTTGTCACGTCAATCATTATGTATGCTTTTCCGTTGACACGAAAAGAGATAGTTTACAAACCACAGTAGGCTCTTCTAGCTGAATAGTAATATACTGTGATTGGTCATGGGAGTTGGAAGACCAACGAGACGATTGCTCATTAGGCTCGTTGATGCAAATGTTTCCAGGATGGTAAGGGCCTGAATAGGAAGAATGATCAAAAATGGTATAGGGAAGAGCGACGTGGGGTGTATTCTTGACCAATAAGTGTAAGTCCTCGTTATCCACAGAGGCGTCGGTATAACTCATAGTAGAGAGTTTCTATAGAAAACAGAGAGTTGAAAGAGAGTAGGGATAGTATGATGAAAATAACTCTTTTAAATTTCCATCGTGTAATGGTAGGTTCTCATTGGCTGTTTGCCATTCTTAAAATAATGCAACTTTACGGTTTTTATAATGCAGACGTAAAGCGGATCACTTAGGGTCATCGGTACAAACTTCACTTTCCGCTCTTCCGGGAAAAGGGTGGGTTGGGTTTGTTGCAAAAAAGTGTAAACAGCACATGAAAAGAGGATAAAAATCGCTTCTGCCGGCATGTCAAGCGATACTGTTTTTGGTAAGACTGATTGGACTCCTTGTTCGCCTATCTTGTAGATCATGAAAAAAAGACGAGAAATACGGGCAAAAAGCGTAAATAATATATCAATCGTTTTTTTTGTTTCCCTGAATTTTTATACAGTAGACAAAAATTTATCTTTCTTTTTTGTTGAGCTTTTTTTTTTTTTTTTCTTTTCTTAAGTCCTTTTCCCCCTTTATTCTTTTTTTTTCAAATTTTGTGTTTGTGTGTGTGTGCGAGTGTGTGTGTGTGTGTGTGTGTGTATAAACGTTTATTTTCACTGCAAACTTGATCCATCCTCCTTTGATTCATGTCTTGTGAGAATCAACAACAACAACAACAACAGCAGCAACAACGAGAACAGCAACAGCAACAACAGCAACCCTCCTCGGTTCCTAATCGGTCCATTCCTATAGAACAACGACCGACGACACCATCCCAACCTCATTCTTCCTTTCATCAGCAACAACAACAACAGCCTTCTTCGATGAGTATACTGACTACAGGTGAGCCTAGAAAAAAACGAGCCAAAATTGTGAGTGCATGTGCCGAGTGCAGAAGAAAGAAAACAAAATGTAATGGAGAACAGCCCTGTCGCAATTGCGAAAAATCCGGAGTGCAATGCATCTATCCTGCTCTTATGAATCAGCATCATCACTTGGGTGACAGAAGAAACAATAACAACACCCTGATGAACAGTGATGGTTCTACTGCTGTCAATAAGGCTGCTCTCGAATCCATTGAACAAAGGTTACAATCGATCGAAGACATGTTGCGACACCTCATTCAGTATCAACATCAACAGCCTCGTCAGCTTCTTCAACAGTGGCCAGCTCTTGGTATGAATGATGCTAATACAGCCAATTTTACTCCACCTTTACGATCTCTAGCTCGACAGCAGCAGCAGCAGCAGCAGCATTTGCCTCCACTGTCAGCACCTCCTTCTACTTCACATCCACCGCATACATTATTAAATGAGCAACCACACCACCCTTCCCCTTTATCAGAAAAAATATTGAATGCAGAAGAAACAGACATTAAAGTAGAAATGACAGACGCAGCCTATTACTCAAGACTGCCACCAAGAAACGTGAATAGTAGTAGTACGATGAATACAACCACCACCATCACCCCCACCACCGCCACAACGGCTACTACTACTACTACAGCTGCCTCTCTATCACCCCCCCCTCCCATGTCAACCCATTCAACCACCTCTTCCATTCAACCCCCCTTTTTAACGACGAGCCAGCCTTTATTACCTTCTATTCGTAGCTTATCTTCTTATACAAACAGTCATGCTGGTATCGAAACAGGAGTCGCTGCCTCCTCCTCCAAGACAGTCGGTGGTGGAGAAAATAGTGATGATAGCAGAGAGTTACCGCCTCTCTTTTCACAAAGTCCACCCAACAGTCATACGAATCGTGCTTACAGTCATTGATGGTTTCCTTTTTTTTTTGTTCAACACGCATAGTACGGAGGTGTTTTTCATTTCAAACATTTTTGCTATTATCCCCATGTTGACCGCAACAAGCTGATACAGCCAACAGCCCCCCGAATTTGCAAACTAAGGACCTAAAAACCCAAGTTGATTACTCACATAGAAGATGACCTTTTCTTTTTCTTTTTTTTTTTTTTTTTTTTTTTTTTTTAATATCCTATCTTTATTACTTACTATTCTACTACTACTACTACATCTTACTATTCTATTTTATACTTCAATATACACACACACATATATATATATATAATCCTTTTATTTTTACTAACTATTCATTATTATATTTACCCCCCACCCCTCCCCTCTATTATTTTATTAGCGTCCATAGCACCCATACGAACTTTTTTCTTTTTTTTTTTTTTTTTTTTTTTTTTTTTTTTTATTAATTGTTTTCTTTCCACTCTCCCCCTTCTATTACATAATATAAATATTTCTTTCCATCCTCTCATTGTCTTTTATGCTCATCGTTTGCTACTATTCAAAAAGAAGAGAATAAACGTCCTGTTTATCGATACACCTCATCCATGACTTGTTTTAAAAGATTTGTAAACAGATAAACATCTTTAAAGGAATTGTACAGAGGGGTCGGTGCGACTCGTATGACGGTGGGTTTACGCTCATCCACAATCACGCCTCGCAAATAAAGAGCTGTAAAGATTTCCATCATTTTTCCTTCCGTAGGAAACTCTAGAGAAAGCTGACAGCCACGTTCTTTGGGATTGGAAGGAGTCAGAATGCGAACCTGTTCTTTTTCAAATTCTTGCTTCAACACCTCACGTAGTAACTGCTCTAGATACTGCGTCAATGCCACGGATTTCTTATTGCGCAGTGCTTCCACGCCTCCTGCACGGTCAAAGACAGATAAGGAGCCATACAGAGAAGTAACACTCAAGATGTCAGGATTGCTGAGCTGATAGCCAGACGCACCTCGACTGGGCACAAACTCGGGTCGCATCTCAAACCGGTTTTCTTTCTCGTTGCCCCACCAACCGGCCAGACGAGGCTTTTGGTCGTCGTCCTTGTACTTTTCATGGATAAAGAGCCCACCAATCGCACCTGCACCCGCGTTGAGATATTTGTAAGAACACCAACAGGCAAAATCCACCTGCCACTCATGCAGCTTCAAGGGAACGTTGCCTACAGCATGCGCTAAATCCCAACCTACAATACAGCCCTGAAGGTGGGTGGGGGGGGGACAAACGTCAATTCTTTTCTGTTTCTCTTTTTTTTTTCAAGTTTTTTTTTTTTTTTTTTTTTTTTTCCAACTTACTGCTTCATGTCCAGCCTGGGTGATGCGTTCCATGTCAAAACATTGTCCTGTATAGTATTGTACTCCGGATAACAGGACGACAGCAATGTGAGGGTCCTTTTGAATCACATCCACCACATCCTCTGTGCGTAAAAGATGCTCTCCAGGACGAGGACCGAGGGTGACGAGTCCATCCGCAGGATCGATGTTTCTTGTTTGAAGATGAGACACCACAGCATACTATCCAGTGAGACAAAAAAAGCATCGCTAATGAGTCTTTCACATGTTTACGCGGATATCCCTCTCTATGAAAACCTACATGATCCGATGGAAAAGCTTTCTGTTCAATCAATATCTTGTATCGAGTCTCGGTAGGTCTGTAAAAGGCCGTCAACATGAGATGAAGGTTGGTCGTCAACGTGTTCATCACTGACACTTCCACAGGTTTGGCTCCTACGATCCGTGCCAGAGGTTCTTTTACAATTTCGTCCATGGTAGCCCAAGGACGACCATAAGGATGACTCCAATGCCCTTCTACGCCTCTATGGACCGTGTCATGGGGGGGGGGTGGGGGTCAATGACACACAGCTCGCCTACTCTGTTTTCTTATCATGTAACCACTTGCCTTTTACCCCACGCATCTAATTCTTCCAGAATCAATTCTTTTGTACATTTGGGTAATAAACCAAGACTGTTGCCGCATAAATAGATGCATTCTTCATCTACTTTTGAGCTCTCTTGCGAAAAAAAAAAAATGAGACTCTTTCCTGTTCAAAGAGAAAAAGAGAGAGTGTGTCCCAAGAGGGGGGATGCCCTACCTATGGCGTTGGGTTGTTTGGCTAACGTTCCATGCGTTGGTATCATGAATTCTTGACGGAATGCAGCAAATGGATCGTTGGCATCATAATATTCGGCGAGTGCAAGGCTTGTCAATGGTAATGTATCCATTGCTAAAGTAAGAAAAAAAAAAGTAAGCTTGAACAAAGAAAAAAGAAAGGACTGTGAGAAACTCCAACGACTGTGGGGAAAAAAAAAAAAAAAAAAAAAAAGTAAGCACGGACTTTTTAGCGGACATCAGGGGATAAAAAATGATAAAAAAAAAAAAAAAGGTCTGTGCCTTTTCGGATCATCACTGCGCGCAAAGTGAATCATGCCTTGTTTCATATCAACAGTATGACCCTATGTTGCTATCTTTTACTGTCCCTACAGAAAAAAAAGATGACTATTGACATGTGTTATCACTGGGGTTAGTTGTGATGCTTTCATAGTATTTAGAAAATAGTCTATTGGTCCTGAGGCCAACTCACCAAAGCCATCATTCCCGTATATTCATTCTTTTTTTTTGTGGTTGTCTCGATTTTTGGTACGATGTATTCCAACCATAAAGGAGTCATACGAAAGACGCCATCTGATATTGTTTTTTTGCTGCTGATACAGATAGGAATGCAGCATACCCTATGCGCATGTCTTTAAAGTGCAAGATAACATGTAATAAGTCAGTGCTTCCATTCTATAGACTGTACGTTGATCCTTCTTACCATGGTGATGTTTCCTTACGACTTCCCTTCCATGTCTAAAGACGCTCCCCATCCATCGTGACTGGTCTCACCACACACTGTACTGTCATTCCTTCCTGTATCGTCCATTTTGGCATGGTGGATTGGCTAGCCGACTTGCTTTTTCCGACCTGTCCTTCACTCACATAGTCATGATCATGAACTTTTAGATCGACTCCTGTCTACGCTCCCCTTTCTCTTATGTCGTCTCCTCGGTTTCTCGATACTATTCGTATAGTATGTTTTATCATTTCATGATGGGCTACATCACGCCCGGTAAACCTGACAAGTCAGTTTTCAATAACGCCAACAAAAAGAACATGTTCCATCTATCTGTCTTGGACGCACAGATTTTTTTTTACAGAGAATGTTATACTATCTCCAAGTGCCACAGGAGGGATCCTTTGAAACACATTTTACATTTTTTACAAAAGAAGCCAACCTTTAAACCCTCTGAAAGAACTTTTTTTTAAAAAACTCCTTAGCTACTGAATTGACTGGTTTCATAAAATGGAAAGACAGTGGTTTGAGCTTCCACTTGACATCCTATTTTTATAGACGAATTGTATTTTTGATATGGACATGAGATGTCATCAGGCCAAGTTGGCAAGTAAGTTTCGTAGTAGTAAAGACATCCCCAAACTGGATCACTCTCGCACACTATCCTTTCGTCCATGAATGTCACTTTGAAAAAAAAAAAAAAAAAGACACCCAAAACACACATGGGTTGGCACTCCATCTCCCAGAAATGAACAATGGACTCCATTCACTATCTATCTTACGGAGAACGTTCACAGCTAACACTACTTCCATGCCTTACAAAGTCCTACAGCATGGCCTTAGATATCGCAAAAGTCATACAACTCGTGCGTAGCTGTGTTTGTTTATAAGAAAAAAGGGGCTTACAAAAGTAAACAGTTGTATAAAAATACTTGTCTTTATCAACTGACTCGTTTGGCATTCCAGACAATGGGTAGCTTTGACTATAATCCTCTATTTTTTTTAGTGCCAATCGAACATGAGATGGATTGTTTTCATCGTTTTTCGGGAGAGAAAAGGAAAGTTTCGTCACAAGAATCATTTTTTTGGTATTACGTCGCAAAGAAGCGAGCCACACTTTTTTTTGTACTTGATCTATGTATCTGAAAAGGCCCTTTATGTTTCTATTGGCCAATTTTTTGGTACTTTAGCTATGTGTAGCTAAAAAGCCCTTTGAGATCAAGGGGGAAACTTTGGTCGAAATTGAAATTTTTGTAAACAAATGGAACCTGAAACGAATAGAAATCAAGGACTTCATGGCTCTTCCCCCATTTTCCTATCAGCGGAGTCTAAATAGCTTCAAAGGCCAAAGGCCCCTTATAAACGTTCCTATGCCCAAGTTGGTTATGGTTATCGTAGCTCCCTGATGTGGATGGAGGCACAACATAGAGTCGCCTCCAAACACGCGTGCCTTGGTCTTTTCGCACAGTGAGGGGGGCTTGTTATTGAATGGAGTAAAGCACCTCAGAGCCCAAAACTTTACCTATTTCCCTGCAAAAAGCCATCGTTGACAACAACAAAACAATGACCAGAGCCAAGCTCATCAGCTTACCCACCCATTGAGCCTTCCGATCAAGTTTTAGCTGGTTTACAAGAAAAAACTGGTAACCCGTTTGGAAAACGAGTCGCCGTAGGTATCATTACTGAAAGTTTTACCGTCGGCCTTTTCATGCGATCGGGTTATGCTATCCTGAATGACGTTCATAGAGTCCCGTTGGCACATGCGGTTCTTTGGCAGAACACGAATAAAGTTTTTTTTTTTCACTGTACATGGAATAATAGGCCTGCCTGACTGGTGTAGGTAGCGTGAAAAAAACCAAAGAGCCAACATCCGCTGTTACAAGTATGCCATCATCCTGGTCATTGAGCTTTCGAATGCCCACAAAAGACCATTCACCCTTCCATGGTCCAATAAAAATGGTTCATCACGGGTGTCATGACCACGACTTTCAATGGTGTAAGCAAATAGCCAGCTCTATTCAACAAATGAAAATGGGCATTGAACCATGTTTAACAACTGTTTTTTTTTTAAAAGGGTGACAAGAGCAGTCGTGAAGGTAAATGAAAAAGAATCAGCCTTGAAGAGCCCCGTAAGTCGTTTGTATGAAAAAAAAAAAAAAACTTCTGTGAACAGGAAGTCTTGCTAATTTTCAGTTTTAGGAACCTGAGGGTCGGCATTCAATGGCTCAAGTTTATCAAAAACCACTGGGCTGTATTTCCATCCGTACAGGTAAATGTTAGCATCAAAAGTGAACGTATATAAACTAATGAAAATGTTCTTTCTTTTGTTTTTAGCCCGGAAGCCAACAACATTATCCGATCAGGGAGGGGGAAAATTCCCTAGGCCCTTCCTCGATCGGATCAAAGCCTGTACAATAGGCAACCTTTGCTTAGAAAGCACGAGCCGTTCATGAAAGGCAACGGTGTTTCTTTCTGCTTGGGACCAGCGTGAAGCAAACTGGTTTATCTTTGGATGCCATGGAAGTAGATTTTTCTGAATTTGCTTCTGCATCTGATAGCGAATCCCATTGCAAGAGCGTGCCTCAAGCCCAAGAATGTAAGTACCATGAGCAATTCTCTGCTTTTCCGAGTAATAATAAGGCTAACTCACTTATTGTTTCCTCTTGTTATACAGAACATCGTAACCTATGCCTTGGTTGACACGGGTGCTACTTTCTCCTGCATTCGTCTTGCTTTCTTTGACTTCCTAAAATGCCCACTTTCCCCGTTCAGGTAGTTCAAGAAAAAAAAAAAATCACCCATACAAAAATGGATGGATGGATCAAGCTTTTTGGATTGAAGAACCTGGGCGAGCTCCTTTTGCTGGAGACCTCAGGCAACTTGTCCAATACCGACAAAATGAGGATAAAAACTTGACAACCACAAAGGCATTGTTCGGTCTCCTCGCGATGCTCAAGTGCATCGCTGATAACTACTCTTTTTGCTTCGGTTGAACAAAAGATTTTCTTTGTGCAAGCAGCAGGTAATCTATCATCTTACCGGATATTGTGATGAATTTAAATAACGTTTAGTTGCGGATAGAAACCAAATGACACTTGTGGAGTGTACGATAGCAGGAGGGTTGGAGAGAATCTTGCCTTGAGATTTTGCCTGACTTTGAAGATAGAAGGGTCTATCTCTAACAACTTGTTCAATTTGGTTGGAATGCAAAGGTATGAAATAGAGTTCTTTAGTACGGTAGATAAAATGACTCATCTTGTAAGTAGTGTTTGCTTGAGAAAAAGCAGTAGAAAAATATCAACGTCCTGAAGCAAGAACAGAGTAATATTTTTTCCATCCGGAAAATACACCTCTCTCAGTGATGTGATTCATCCTGTTATTATCAAGATAACCAAGAAAGAAGACAGTGAATATCCACTCTTGCTTAAAGTATACGGATCTTTTTTTTTTTTTTTTTTTTGGTAGATTATTTTATTTTAAAATAATAAATTAGTCACACATCGCTGAGGGGTGGGACATGGAGAGGAAAAGAAGATTTCTATGACAAGTAAATTTAGTCAAAAGCAGCCGCTTCCCGCATGAGCTGCGAGGAAGACAGGCTCAAAGAAATTATGTTGTATGCTTTACTAGAGACGGATGGGGGGGATGAAAAGGAATATCATGGAATATCATTTGAAAAAATGACGTCCAGATAGCCCAATGGATACTGAAGCAGACGGTGAAAAATCGAGATTGCTCGGACAAAGGTAGTGATGGTGGCGAGTGTAATCTTAGGGCGGCGGAGATGCTTTGAGGATCAAAGTCAAAGGATGGGAAATATATCGCGAGGCCTTCTTGCCATATCTGCCAGCGTGGTCGACAACTGGTTGTAAAATGTTCGAACGTATCAATATCATGATTACAAAGTCTGCAGATAGCAGATGAAACTACCCCTGCGGCTTGTAAGACTGATAAGCATGGTAATTTTTTCAAAATGGTGCGATAGCCTAGGTCACGAGCCGGAAGAAACAAAGGAAGGGACCAGAACAGGGTGAACATCCGTTTGGGGATCACCCCTATACCTGATGCTTGTTGCATTTGGATGTGATGATGAAGTCTAAACGTTGGAGCCGAATAATGACGCCAAAGATTACTGTTGGCCAATCGTCGTAGTAGTGCGATTTCCAATGACTTATCTGGGTCGTCGGTAGTGATAGAAGAGCCTGCCGGCACCCTGTGGATATACGGGTGAAGTTGAACTGTAGCATCGGTAAGTAATTGGCCCAAGAGATGTGAAAGTAACCAAAGTATACGAATCTCGATTCCTTCAAAATATGAATTGTTTCAAAATTATAATCTACTTGGCACCATAAAGCTTACAATTTTATCTCAGTACCCATCTAAGATTTATCTCAAATTTTTTATTTTGGATATTCTCAAAAAGTGTGTTCCTGGATAGTTTTTACTCCGCTTAAAGCAAGAAAAAATGACTTTTTTTTGTTTTGCGTATAAAAGTACGTACGAATCGAGTAGCATGTATTTATATACTTTATCCCACTGCTGTAGGGAGAATCAAAGCGTGGAGGCATCAGTACTGGGTCAACTGTATGCATTCGATGTATCTTATCTATAGAGACACACACTCGTCCATAGACCTTCTCAACTAGTATTACCGAGTCTGTCAACAATAGCCACAGCAAGAATAGATGTCAAGTGTTCTGCTGTCTACCTTGCTCTGCATCGAGCCAGATACTTGGAGAATAGACGGCATAGTTTTTTATGCCATCTCAACATGTTTAAAAAGAAATGAGGACCCGTAAGGACATACATTACTATTTTAAGCAACCACCATCCTTCTTTGTCCCCCAGTTTGCAATGCGTGTTTTTCATAATGTAGATTTTCACTAGGATGATGATGATGAGCTAATGTCCATTGAAATACGTTATTGCCCATGCTTTAGCGATATCGTTCTACGTAGCATAGAGATTCACGGCGACATGTTTCAATGAGGAATAGTCAACATGGATACGCTGCTGACCCACCTTTCATCGCGGGCTGACAACAATTATGGGAAAAAATAAAAAGAGCAGAAAAATGTGGGGTCACACCAAACAGCTCTTTTTTTTCTTTCTAAAATTAAATCATTCATTTATCATCCCCTTTTTTTTTTTTTTTTTTTTTTTTTTTTAATTCAACTATTTGACTTTCTTTTTTTTCCTTTCATTTTTTAAAACAGGCCCTTGATTTTGAGAAACAATATATTACTACTTTATATATATGTATAACATATATCTTATACATATATTTATTTATATACCCCCCTTACAACTTTTCATACCTCTTTGTATCAGATAATAGATGTCATCAGCAACGACGCATTTGATCTTATACCCAACCTCCTCCAATCCAAGGTCTGAACCCATTACCATCCCAGCCAAAAACGATAGATTACTCGATAGTAATAGTAGTAGTAGTAGTAGTAGTAGTAGTAGTGGTAAAGATAAACTACCCTTATTTACAGCTACTTCTTCTCTCTCTACTCTTTCCACTGTTTCCTCTTCTGCATCCTCATCCACAAGCAGTTATAAAGAGATTATTCGACAATTAGTGGCTCAATCCACTTCGAAACCTTATGGTGATATACCTTTACCCACTTCACTCACCCATGAGAATAGAAAAAAGAAGCAACAGCAGCTGACAGCCACCACCCTCACGATGCCAACTGCTACTGCTACTGCTACTGCTACTGCTCCTCCTCGACGACCCAACCATAAACTGATTCGAAGAATGTCTCATGTAGAAGATTGGATTGTCGTGGATAGTAAAGAATCCTTGCCTGATGAACAGGAACTCATTGTACCTTCATTATCCATTCGCAATTTCTTTTCCCATGATTTTTTCACAGAAGTACTACCACTACACATGCCTCCACCTTCTCTAAGTGAGACATCGGTTTTTGAAGCCACACAAGAGGAGGAGGAGGAGGAGGAGGAAGAAGAAGAAGAAGCAGAAGCAGAAGCAGAAGCAGCTCACGTCCTACACAGACAATCTCTCTCTACCGTATGGATTCAAAAATCGTCACCCACTTCCTCCACCACCGTATCCTATGCTCTTTCTTCTTCTCCACCTCAATGGTTGACCCATGATTGGAAGGATACATTGACCAAACTCAACAACACTTTGAATGCATCCCAAACGACGACGCATGATGATAATACCCTATCACGATCCCTTACCCAGAAAAGCGGAAAATTAGAGAGACTTAAGGCAAGTACAATGCTGCCAGCTGCACCACTCACGAAAACAGGCCAGCCATGGATCCCTATGCCTATCGCTCCGAAACGCCCTGCTCATAACTCAAAGCGTCGCTCAGAAGCAACCACGCAACCCCGATTCAATCCTGATACCAACACTTATTTAAGAGATACTCGATCCAATCCTGATCACTTGAGAATGATCTCGGCTGAACTCAACATGATGCGATGTAAAAAGTTATTGAGTCCTTTGAAACCCAGAGGATTCTTACCGAGAAGAAAAGACCCCTTTGTGAGAGGAGACCATCGTAAATTATCCAAACTACGGTACGATAGCACCACTAGCACCACCACCACCACCACCCCTTGGTTCTCTAGATAGTGCAGTGCAGTGTAGTGTAGTGTCGTGAGGGCGGAGAGTCAAACAAACATATGGGCCAAATTTAAAAACGCGAAAAAGAGTCTTTTTTGTTTTTTTTTCTCCATTGTTCCCTTTTTTTTTTTTTTTTTTTTTTTTTTCCACTATTTCATTGATTCCACCCACTATTCCAAGGCATACATCAACAAAAGATAAGCTATTCTGCTCGAATATAGCTCTCTTTTTTTTCATTTTCATACAAGTTAGACTCTCTGGAAAATAAAAGAGGGGATTATTTCTTAAAAAGAAAAACCAAGCTTTTTTTTTTTTAAAATACGTTGATATATAAGAGAAAATGCCCTCCCAATACAATAGATATCAACAACAATACAAGAATGACAGCAACAACATAAAGTCGCTTCGATACAAATACAAACATACCATAAAGCCTTTATACGAATTATTTCCTGAATGGAGTCAGGACGATTTACTTTTCGTCATGGAAGAATGTCAGGGCGATCTAGACCTGACCATTGCACGCATATCCGAAGGATACGCAAGTCAATGGGGAGAGGTGAAACCAAAAAGACCAAGACCTCCTCGAGACAGCAACAATGAAAACAAGCGTGTCGCCATCGTGGAGAAAAAGAAAGAGGTTGGAGGTAAGCCCAAGCCTGCCCCTATCAGAAAACCCATGGCTACTCTTTCTTTTTTTTTTTTTTTTTTTTTTTTTTCCCCTTTTGTCTGTCTGTTTGTGCTCATAGAATACTGTTGTAGATCGCTCTCAAAAATATCAACCTACACATCCACGCGGTAAAAAGGATCCTCATGAAAAAAGGTCAGGCGGTCCAACCAAACGATCGAAAAAGCAAAAGAATGAGATAGAAAAAGAAGACAAAGAGACGTCCAACAAAGAACCTCCCAAGCCTTCATGGGCCAGTATTTTGAAAAAGTCGATTGAAGAAGAAGAAGAAGAAAAGAAAAAGAAGGAACAAGAAGCCAAAGAGAGCGTGAAAGAGACGAGGAAAGTAGAACAAGCACAAGAAGAGGGCGGCACAGAGAATGACAGCACAAAGGAACCAGCACACGATTCAGAACCCAACAACCTAACAGCAGACAACCCAAAGGAGGCCGATGGACAGGCACCCCATGTCCTTGAGAAGAGCGATGAGGACAGCCACCACTCTAAAGACGCGGTACAAGCATCGACGACCTTAAAAGTAGAGGAACCTTTGACAGTGAGCGAGCCAACGGAGGACGAGGTGGTGGAGGAGGAGGAGGAGGAGGCTGACGACAGTCCACCTAGGGAGAAGGAGGAAGAAACGCCATCAGTCACTACCGCGGAAGAGTCCGACATGGCATCCCTTGCTGACATGACCATGCAACGTAAAACAAGAATGCTCAACCAAGTAGAAGCCGTTGTATTACCTGACAATCAACAAATTGACCCATCCCTGGATGACGTCCATGTTCGCTTTGGTACTTTGAATTTGGCATCCGATGAGGAAGAGGATGAACACGTACAGAATGGGAATGAGGAGGGTCAGGAAAAGACCGTCAAAGACATGGCAGTTGGCACCCACGGTGGTGCAACAGCCAAAGAAGAGCCAGCAGCAACTGCTCTTACAAGCGTGCCCGCCTCTCCTCCTCGTCCGACCGTGACCCGCGCTGCAGCTGAAACAGAAGAAAAGGCAAAGGAAACCAAAACTCAACCTGCTGTTGTAAAGGAAGCATCTCCCATAGCTCAAACGTATCAGCATAAACCTCTTCCACCTGCTTTCGAACCTTCCATGAGCAAGAAACCGTCACCAGCCCCTTCAGCCCCAGCAGCAGCCCCAGCAGCCCCAGCAGCAGCTCAACCCTCCTACGCAACCCCACTTCTCGCTCAGCAAGGTCCTCTGTACACTTCTTACGTACCCGTGACAGCCGTGCTTGGCTACAATGTCGCAGCTACTCATCCTATGCCCATGATCGAGAACGCTGCAACGACAGCGGCTACCACCACTCTCTATCCATCGGCTGCTGCGATGGGAATGGCACCCCCGCCACCCCCCGCTGAGATGCCTTACAATTCTCGACTACCAGCGGCTACCATGAACTATTATTATTCTCCCTCCTCTAACGCACCCATGTACGGTCATCTTCAGCAACAACAGGCCTCGTCCCCTTCCATGCCAGCTTTATTTGTTCAAAACACAAAAGAAGGAGACATGAACAGATACTATCAGCCTGCCACCACCGTCATGGAGCCCATGATGTTGTCGTCCCCTCAACAAACCGTGGTAGTCCCTGGCAATCGCTTCTTGTCCTCTAGCAATCACACGCCCTCCCTCTTACCTCAACAACAACAACAACAACAACAACAACAACAACAACAACAACAGCAGCAGCAGCAGCAACAGCAACCTTATTCCTATTATTACATGCAACCTCCTACCAACACCCATTATCAGCAAGCACAAGCACAACCGTATCCCTATCCTCACCAACAGCAACAGCAACAACAACAACAACAACAACCCCCTTATATGAATCATCGACATTATCATTATACAACACAGTCCTCCGATGCTGCAAGCCATACGCATCATCACCCTCCTACAACCCATAGCAAATCCACGCATCCACAGCAGCCACCACCACCACCACCACCACCACAGCAGCAGCAGCAGCAGCAGCAACAGCATGTCAATGCCACCTCTCATTCTTCTTCTTCTACTACCCCTCCTACGACTTGTACGCCTACCACGACAACAACGCCTGCTACTGCTCCTACGACAGTAGTCACCACGGCTACAATGATGACGCATGGGACGACGGCCACTACCTTACCCATGACGTATTCGAGTATGATGGCTGCTCCTTATCAACCTTATATGTATACAAATACAATGAATTATGCTGCTGCTGCACCTGCACCCCCCATGGCTTTGTCCAACAAAAATGATGTTCATTTCCAACAACAACAACAACAACAACCACCACCTACTCCCATGTCTTATTATCCTCATGTAACCTCCAATCAATATCAACAACATTATTGGCAATAAAAAAAAAAAAAAAAAAAAAAAAGAATAGACGATTCAAAAAAAAAAAAAAAATGCTTTTAGTTATCTTGTACAGTGTATAGCGAACTTTTTTTAAAATAAAGGGGGGGGAGCGGAGGGAACCTGTTCCATGGATGATTGACTGCGTCATTTTTGAATGCTCTTGTAAGAAAAAAAAAAACTCCTATGTCGACTCTCCATGAGATGGCTCGCAAAGGACAGTAGAGCGTGCCTCGCTATGGCTCGAGATCAGCAATGTGAACCACTTGTTTACCAAAGTTCTTGCCACGTAAAACATTCACTAACGCTTCGGGCACTTGATCAATACCATGCGCAATATCTTCGCGATACTTGACTTTTCCACTGACCAACAGCTGCGTCACCTCTTTCAAAAACTTGTCTTCATATTCTGCTGCATGATCCATGATGATAAAGCCATCAAACTTGATACGCTTCGTGACGATATTCATCGTGTTATAGATGGGTTCCGGCTTTTCCAAATTGTATTGAGAAATCATACCGCAAGCGACGATACGAGCAAAATTGTTGGCGACACTCAACACGGCATCCAGCATCTTGCCGCCGACACCCTCCCAGTAAATATCGATGCCATGGGGGCAATGCTTGCGCAAGTTGTCTTCGAGATCGCCTTCTTTGTAGTTGAACGCAGCGTCAAAGCCAATCTCTTTCAAATAGTCGACCTTTTCTTGGCTGCCCGCGGAACCCACGACGTAGAGACCGACTGCCTTGCCGAATTGACCGACGAGCTGACCGACCGCACCCGCGGCAGCAGACACATACAACGTCTCGCCCTTTTTGGGTTGGCCGATTTCATGCAGACCGTAGTACGCTGTCATACCGGGCATGGCCAAGACACCGACATAATGGCTCAACGGCAGCTTGTTTTCTTTCGCGTCATTGCGCACGACGTAGGCTTGTTTGGCATAGTCGGCATCGACCTTGACGTATTCTTCAAACAGACCCAACGCGGTACGGCCATAGACAAGATCGCCGACCTTGTAGTCGGGATGATGGGAGCGCACCACGACCGACATGGTGTCACCGGTCATGCGTTCGTGGAGAGGGAACGCAGGAGCGTACGATTCAATCGAAGCGTCACGCATACGACCGCGCATGTACGGATCCACAGAAATTTCCAACGTTTTCAAAATAAATTCGCCTTTGGCTAACGGGGCATCCAGATCCATCGTGGACGTGCGGATGCTCATGTCCTTTTTAGGGTCAGGAAGACCCGAAGGTATTTGACTGAAAATCACTTGCTTGTTGTTTTGTTGAACCATTTTTTTAAATACGTGTTTTTATCGAGGGAAAAAAAAAAAAAAAGAGTCAAAAAAAATAAAGCGTGGACTTGGCTTTTTTAAATCATAGGCAGAACTAACAGAAACAACTGAAACATTCTTATATGTTCGCCCGATCATTCATTAATCAGCAGAAAAAGAAAAAAAAAAGTGCCAGAAATTTTGTTTTCGCGTGAGGGCCAAGATCACCTAGTATAAGGTATATGCTACTGAGGGTTTTACAAGCCATGGTATAAGTAAAAAAGCTCTTTTGAATACGTAGCCTGCTGCGAGGGAAAGGGCCCATTCTTTCATTAGAAAAGGAATACCAAGGCAGCGTGTACTTTTGAAAAAATACTTTTTGTCCGTGCCTCTTTCGAGTCCTGTAAAAATGACGTGAAAAAGTGATATACTAGCGCCCTTGGCGTGATAGGCGACAGGAAAGCCTCCCTAGGCTGATGCTCTTGTCCATATCTATCCCATCTAGCTATCGTTCATCTGTCGAGCTTTGCGGTCCGTCTGAGCACCTACCATGTAGGGTTGGACAGATCCTTTTTTTATCGAATAGAAAGAAACTTGCTTTTCACTGATGTTAAAAAAGGTGTACGCAGACTCTACCAACAGGGCTCATTGTTCTCATGGGTGGCGGGAATGGGACGCTTTCCATAGCTGAACATTGTTCATTCGTTGCATTGCCATCTCGATAACACCATTCACCGTAATCGAGAGCTACATTAATGGATTGTATAGGATCCATCGATTCATTCCATGCAGGCATTGCAGTTATAGCATCATGTCTTCAGTTTAGGACACTGATGTTTGGCGACCGTAACATCGATTGAAAACCAAAAAAAAAAAAGTCCGAATTCAGGCCCATCAAGTCCACATCAGAACTGACCAAAAAAAATACTGTACACTATCTTTTGAGTAACCAACCACCCAGATGTATAATGATATGCATACACCTCTGTTGGGAGGAGGGAGGGGGCTATAAATAGATAAGCGCATGAAAATGAAGAAAAAAATCTTTCTTTTTTCTTTTTCCCTACTTCCTTCCATGCTCACTACCACTTCATCCAAAGAACTATGGCGTCCATTGCTGATAGCCTTGGTGGCTAGCATGACACAAGCATTTGGTCTTTCGTTACAAAGAAAATATCATGTCTTATCCAACAACAACAACAACAGCAGAAAACGGAAAACGGGAGCACTTTATAAACGACCGTTATGGATATCGGGATTCCTGATCTATACCCTTTCCACACTGGTGGGATCCACTTGTACCATTGGGTATCTACCGATTGTTATTCTGGCACCGGTAGGAGCCATGGGTTTAGTCTTCAATGCTATCTTTGCCAAACTCATCTTGGGCGATCCGTTTACAAGAAAGACCCTTCTCGGTAAGATCAGAAGTGCCTGCACTTAGTGTAAAAAACTAATAACAACATGTGTTTATGTGTTTTTCTTTTTGTCAGGGACTGCATGGATTGCATTGGGAGCTGGTCTCATTGCCGGATTTGGAACAACTCCTGAAGCGAAACATACATTAAAAGATTTGATGACACTTTACAAACGACCTTCCTTCATCATTTACTTTTCAGTAGTGGAAGTGTTTACAATAGTGGGACTCGGCATGACGCATTTGATAGAATATATCCTACATTCACGACAACAATCCAAATGGTGGTGGGCCTTACAGCATCCAAATATAAAGACTTGGCTTGGGATCAGGTAAAGGGGACACACACTACTTGGAGGGCAGGACATCCAACTCATCTTGTTATTCTTCTTAGTTATGGCGTTTTTGGTGCCAATATCAGTAGTCAAGCCATGTTGTTTGCCAAAAGTGGTTTGGAACTCTTGATATTGACGTTATTTCATGGTGAAAATCAATTTATTTATCCTTTGACGTGGGTCATTGTCTTGGCTTTGATCTTCACCGCTCTCTTACAGGTAGGCTGGAGTCGTCATGAGCCGTTGAGAGGGAAGGGTTCACCGATGGGTTGACGTTTTGATTCTTTTCCCAAATGGATTAGTTGTACTATTTAAATCGCGGTGTTCAATTATGTGATACCATCATTTTGGTGCCTTTGAATTTCTGTTCCTTCAATGTCTCTTGTCTCTTTAACGGATTGTTTTATTACAATCAATGGGATAGCTTGGGTTGGTGGCCACTCATGGCGGTGCTCATGGGTATTTGTGTTTTAATTCATGGTGTGTTGCTCATTTCATTTCATCATAGCCATCAACGTCAATCCATCTTTTTATCCGATGACGATACCGACGAGGAGGAGCACCACCGTCGTGATCATACACCCTTTGTAAAAACGTCAACGCATGAGGAAGAGACAGCTATGCTATCTCCATTGTTGAACGAGCAAGAAGCAGGTGGTGGGGTCGTAGTAGAAGAAAGAGACAACGAGGATACCCACTTGATAGATATCAGGGGCCAACCCGGAGAAAGAGGATAGCTCCATGCCAAACAGGCATCTACGCGTAGGAAGCTCATCTTGAAAAAGAAAAAGAGACACTTATAGGAAGCCAAAAACGTTCTTAAAGAGGTCCGATCAGTATACCCTTTTTTTTTGTTTATACAACAACATGTATTTTGTTTTTGCTATTTTTCCATTTATTATATTAAAAGGTGAGGGGGGAATTCTATACCTTTTTGCTGTCAATAGAGACGGGGGGGGTGGGTGATGATTCTATTTAAAAAAAGACAGGATCATTCTCTTTCTTATTCATGTTATTGTTATAGTTTCATTCTATTTTCTGATAGAAAGAAATACTGCTATGTTGAAAAAAGGACGATAGCGGTTGGTTGAGTGGTGCACATTGGGGGAAACCCTTGAAACGAAACAACTGTATTTACTGTGAAGGGTGGTGGGTGCGCTGATAAAAGATAAAAAAATAAAAATTGCAAGATGCTTGAACTACCACCACCCTTTCCTATCCAAGCAAACGGGGTCGCCCTTTTCCCTTTTTTTGTTTTTTGTTTTTGGGTATATGTTTATTTCTCCATGTTATCTTCAAATAATGCTAGCGCTGTGGTGGGTATGAACTCGTTCCAACTGCTGTAAATCAAGTGCTGCTGATGCGAGATTATGATTGGATAAAGACGGATCTTCCTTTAGATCGAGATCTGTACTGTTGAGCATATACAAGGCTGGCATGTGCTTTTTCTCAAAAGCTCTTCTCCATTTCGTTCCCCAAATATAACAGGCTAATACGAAACCGCCATTCAAAACACCTATAGCAGCCAAGATGGTAAAGATAATGCCGGTGCCGAGAGCATCAACGGCTTGACTGGAAAAGACCGTCGTCACGGCGGCAAAGATACAGCGGATGCAACTGTTGATACCTACGGCCGTAGCTGAGTAGCCTGGTTTTGTATCCACAAGATAGACAGAGACTGGTGTAAAAGCCCACATTTGACCCATAGAATCTAAGGGAGGGATCGATTAGCGTTTTCCCTTCATTGGCAATTTTCTTTTTTTTTTTTTTGGCTAGACTATGGCTTACAAATGAAAAGTCCTATGAGAGGGGCATAGACACCCACTTTCTTTTCTGTACACCATCCATAAATAAGATAACCTGCAGGCATGAGGAAGAAGGAGGGCACAGCCGCTTGTAATCTCATCTCTGGGCAGATTTTTGGTTGATCCCCGTAGGGTTCTTGCTGCTTGGATGCTTTTTTGGATAGTTTGAGAAGCAAATAATCCGAGTGTCTACCACTCACAATAGAACCAATCATGAATCCGGCACCCAAAGACAAATAACAAAGTCCTGTTTGCCATTCTGTATAACCGTAAATGTTTTTGAATGTTTGTGTAATGGTAGGATTCTAATCCAAAAGAAAAAAAAGAATGAGTTCGAATCCCCCCAAGCGAAAACTGGCAGTGTTATTTACCATGATATACAAACTGGCAAAGATGATACTGGTAAACAACATAAGTAGGATTTGATTTGGATCATACAACATAATCCACATGGGTCCAAAACTGTCCTGTAACGCATTTAGAAAAGAAGAAGAAGAAGAAGCATGCTGCTGCTGCGGCTGGGAAAGAGGACTCTCGTTGATGACTTGAGTTGGTGTATCGGCCGCATAGACACTCGCATCATCCTCGTCTTTGTTATTATGCGTGTTGTTGTTGTTGTTGTTGTTGAGCACGAGCTCGTTTATCTTTTTATCGTGGCATTTTGTGTCAGTGACCGTTGTGGATGGTTTCTGCTTTCTCAGCGTTTCTGGTAAAAAGAAAGCTGTAAAGACGAGTAAAATACCGCATAGAATGGCTGTAAAATAAAAGGTAGATCTCCAACCAAGATATTGACATAAGAAACCTATTTTTTTTTTTTAAAAAAAGTGAGTCGATCTGTGATCTGCCGTGTGGACGGTGATATTTTTCTATTACCTCCAATGGTAGGACCTATGAACAGAGAATTAGATAGGTTAAAAAAACCAGGACAAAACAAACAAAAACAAACCACCCTACATTACCTATGACAGGACCAAGTAAAGGACCACTAAAAGATAAACAGGACTTTTTTTTTAGTTTTTTCTAAAACAAGAGTGCTCCAAGAGAGGCAAAAAAAAAAAAAATACTTTACGAGTAGAATATACCGTAGGCTTTTCCTCTTTCTTCTACAGGTATGGTGTCCGCAATGACACCGGCACCTAGAGTTAAACCAGCATTGGCACCAAAGGATTGCAATGCACGAAACACGACCAACATGCCGATATGGCTAGACAAAGCGCTGATGACGGAACTGATCACAGTGATCAAACCACTGAGTAAATACATACGTTTTCTACCCCAGGTATCACTCAAGGCCGCCCAAAACAAGGGCTATCATTCATTGACACAAAAAAAAAAAAAAAAAAAAAAAAAAAAAAACATGTTAAAAAAAATTCTTAGGGTCACACCCCTCGAAATGCACATTTTTACCGATATGCCCATAAAGACAACATAGGCAGAAATAGTTCCATTGACTGCTGATATGGTTGTATTCAAATCTTGCGTAACAGCCAAGAGACCCGGCATATACATCATGGAGCTCATAGGACCTGCAACGCCACTTAATGCCACCAGCAGAATAATAATGTTTTTGCGTCTTTCTGAATACTTCCTGGGATCATCGTCGGTCACATAAATGTCACCGACGATATAATTATACCAAGAGCGCTTAGGCATTGTGTTTCTTTTCTCTAGTATCTTCTCTCGCTTGTTTGAAGAAAATAAAAAAAAAAAAAAGAGAACAGAGTTATCTTTTTTCTAAAAAGACACTTTTCTTGATCTCTTTGAAAAATGAGGGTATATAGACTGGCGGGGTCGGTCGGAATGAGAGAATTCCAAGATACACAGAGTACACTGCGCGTACAAGTGACGCATTACTTATTGAGCAGAGAAAAGCTGTTTTATTCATCTGTCCACGTCTGGCGTGGGTTGGGATACGAGAAAAGATGATTCATGTTATTTAAAAAAAGGGATCCCTTTAGAGAACACACTGGTAGCCATAGCAACAACTCTAGCCACCGTAGTCGTCTCCCGAGAGAGGTGCACGAAAATGCACAGTGATAGAATCCATTTTGGTCATTGATCCGGACGAGTACGGCGGGAGGTCGTTGGAAAAAAACTAAAAAAAGACGGAAACCCCCCCACGAAATAAAGCGGAATTTTTTTTATATTTAATCTATTCATTTGTCACACATCGCAGAGGGGTTGGTGTTTTTGATCTATATAGAATTTTCACTCAATGCTGTCGCTTCCTGCCATTCATGATGAGAAGGGGGACAAAGCAAAGGGCTTTTGTGCATAACAGTAGAATATTGAAACACCGCCTGGTAAAATACAAATCCAATAGGAATTTGCGTTGGGTAAAATGTTCATCCTAAAGATGCCTTGTTATTATGTTGACAGATAACGTATCCTTTACTCGTCCTATTTGCCAATGAACAGGGCACGTAATCAATCAAATGTGTCGATACAAAGATAGCAATTGAGTGTAAGGACGATTTTCCAAGGGTATGCAAAAATTCTGAACTAGGAAAATTCTGCAACATCGTTGCATGGCCTGGACCCACGTGGTGGTAGAGTCAAAACAGAGGGAGGAGACATTATGAAATTGACACGTTAGCATCGAGGCAGAAGTCGTTGCGCCATGCTCATCAAATCGACTTGCTTTTTTTTTTTTTCTAGAAAGTATTTGATCCAACGACAGGTCAGACCCATCCAAAATCGTGTGATCGACGGATAACGGGTGGAATAGGGCTGCCTTTACTATATCCTAACAGTTGAAGCGGGGAATTTATGGTTTTTACTGTATCGGATCACGAAAAATGTTCTGGATTGATCCAACAGCGAAACAAAAAAGGGGAAAGTAGAGTTTTAAAAGGCGCTTTACCGTCGATCATCCATACCATGGCAGAACGACTTTTTTTTTTTCTTAGAAAAAAAAAACCATATACTCCAAGGCATGCTCACATTCCTCCCGACAGCACAATTTTCTTTTTCGAAAACTGTGTGATAAATAAGCCCTTTATTATTCAGTTGAATATCACGCCTCACCATGTTAGGCGATGGTTCATATATACGCGATGGATAGAATCTGGACTTTGTATCATCTTTCATACGTAGATTTGTTCCAACCTACATCCACAAGCTAATAATACACTTTCAACGTTTCCCTACAGCCAAGATATGTTGTTTTATTTCCCCCCTCCACCTTTTCGTGCCATTTTTCATCTGATAGATGGTCGCCTCAAAAATTATTACGTGAACAGGATATAACCCGTGTCCCCAGCTAATAGAGCTAGTAGCATTTATTTTGAAGTCTAAAAGCACCCAAAAAAAAAAAGAGTCTACTCTAAAACGGACGATAACTGCACTTTTTTTAGTAATCCAAAAGTGTGAAAAAATAATAGTGTATAACGTAAAATTAAAAAAAAAACCATCTCTTAGCAAGCGTTAATTGCATCCGAGAATAGACCATTCGATTCAGCAATAGTTTTATTCTCAACAGCCTTCTCATTATCTCAGAACTTATCAGACATACAAATCTTGAGTGCTATGGCTGAGGCTTTCATTTTTTCGATGTTTTCGATCAAACTTCTGTCTTCCAAATAAAGCAGTTGAAGTTCAGGCCTCTTTTGCCAAGGACTAAAGATGTCCCTGGCTTCAGTCATAAAAAGTTCTTCCCAGATCCAGCAATGTTTTGGCGTCATATTTATCAAGTTTTCTAAGAATAGCACAGCAATCATAACGAGACTTGGAGATAACGCCTTCGATCGCCTTTATTTCACTGTGGAGAACATCGATAGCCAAGGATTCACCCTTAGCTATAATGTCTATCGACCTAAAATCAAGGATAAAGTAATATATTTTTATCAATCTTTACAGTTTGGAGTGTTGTAAATAACTATTTGATAGTTCGATCTTATAGCTTCTCTAAAAGGCCTAAGTTTTTTGGTGAGAACAACAATATCACTGATACATGTTTTAGTAAACAATCCCATCGTCAACATTATAATCATGCTTATTGTGATCAAGGTTAGAGTCGGCATATTGGGAATCGTCACCAGAAGGAAGTATCAACGTCATTTTTGTGAGTTTCAACAGCCAAAACACCGACTAAGTGGTGTGGATAGAGAAATGGATAAGAATGGTTATTATCTACCTCAATAAACATTGTGATAACAATTGCATCAAAAGTCATCTTACCTGGGAAAAGAACACATAATGCTATCATATGAATAAAGATACCACGCATTTTTGTATGAGGTGGGAGGGTTTCTTCCAATAGTTAGAGTGGAGTGTTTAAGCTTTGGAGTTTTTAGATAACAGATCTTGGTACTATGAGCAAAGAGGAATAGAATTGTGTATACTATATATATTTTTTTTTTGTTGATCTGCAAATCTCTATTTTATTCTGATCCCGACACCAAAATAGGGTCCACAAGAGAAGCTGTGGATGTATAAAGCGTACGTTTAGAACAAGCGAAAGTACATGGATCCCTTTTTCGGCACGTATCTCTTTCACATACTGAAATATTTTTCCGTGACTTCTAAGATATGATGGTCATCAATAACCTTGCATCAAGGATATGTATGGTTGGAGCAACTGTAACTTGGATGATCTCTGAGTTAGTGTCAAAAATAACCCGTAAATGTACACAAGCAGACATAACCAAACGGTTTACCCCATGCTTTGGAATGAAAAAGTAGCAATTGATAAGTAAATAGTCTATTTTGAAAAAAGTCGAATGAAAGGATAAAAGTCCAGAAACTGAGATATGATGCATGTATTTAACATATTACACATTGTTCATCATCCATGGATCGGAAGGCTATTCACATAGACAAAGAAGGATACAACAAATACAAATTTAGCTATGGCTTCGATATGACGCCAAGCAATATACTTTATCTGTTTAAGGTCTAGATAATGGAGGAGGATGGCTTTAGAAACGACACATGTCTGGTATATGAATTGTTTTATGCTATGTACAGAAACAATGCTGGTAGTCAGCGGACAGTTCTTGCTTTGAATTATTCCTCCAAATCAACAATGACAGGTGCATTCTCGCCTCCTTCCTCTTCTTCTTCATCGTCCTCATGGTCGCTTATTTCCCAGTCAAACTTTTTGATAATGAAACGTTTCAATTTCATAAAGCGTTTCCCCAATCGTTCATTATGAAGCGGTATATTTCTTTGTAATGTCTAACGAGAAAAAAGTTGTTTAGGCTTCATATGCCACTTGTCATATATATCATATATGTGGATTACCTTCAAAACAATCGTGGTAAAGTTATTCTCTGATAAAATATCTCTGTAAAAGTCCTCAGGACATTCATTCAGTTGACATTGAAGCACATCTATTCAAATATGAAGACGGGCTTGAGAAAATGTCGCCTATTCTACTCGAGTCAAAAAGATGCTTTACCCATAAAGTCGTAAAACAGGTCTGGCATTTCTTCTACTAATTGCTGACATGAACACATCAATTGTACCAGCTGTTTCCATTGATTGAAACCAGAGAAATTTTGTGCCATCAGCAGACAGACAAAAGCCAGTTGCAATTCTCCCAACAAGACTTTATAGTCTCCATGATATACTGTGTTGAGCAATTGTCGTGTCAGCCATGATTTGTCCAGACTCCATCGTGTGACCTCCTGGCCTACTGCACCTTTAGGAAAAGAGTGTCGAAGGACAAAGGGAGTGAATTCCATGCCTTGTTCTTTTTCAATCTGTTTGCCTAACCGTTGATCTTTGATGGTTGCTGGATCGAGGGTCTCAGGAGGACGGCTACTGCTACTGCTGCTGTTGTTGGTATCTTGGGATGGCTCCAAAGAATCGCTGCCTTTTTCAGGCAGGTGACTGACTTTTCCATTATTCGGTAATATGCGATGAACAAGACCGGGTGTAATATAGTTGGTTAGTTGCTTCCAACGTTCGTAAAATGTCGGTGGGTCCAGTGGATAAGGACCCATATTACGATCGAAATCACGAATATCTAGCATGAAAAGAGTGTTGTTAGGATGTTTGTCCTCATTCGTATAAAAAAAAACCAAAAAAAAACCAGTGTATATTACTTGATCGTAAACGTTCTACTTGATCAGGGTCTAATTCTGTCTCATCACGCAAGTCTTCAATGTGAGGATTCCATTCTCTCACCAACACTTCTTTGGATTCAAAGAAATGGAAAAAACCTGTTCTGATGCCTTCCGCTCCTTCTTTACTCAATGCACTAATAATCTCGAAACGATGGGTGAATGAATGGCGTGTACATTTATGCATGCATTCTCCCGAACCTTACGAGTAATAGATGAAATGTAAACCTGGAGGAATCATTTTAACGCCCTTGAATAAAGGACCAATGGTCCAAGCATGATAATCAACGCCAAATTCTAAATGAGGTGGGGCTTCTAGAAACAATAGAAACGCGCCTTTTTCAAATAATTGATTTGCAAGTTGTTGATCCATCGATGAGCAAGATGGGAAAGAAAGAAAAAAAAAAAGTCTTGTGTTTATTTCCTTTTTTTTAAAAACTATGTACATTCTTTTGATAAATAATAATGAGAGGCGTCCGTTGAATTATCCAGCACTCAATCTTGCCTACCCATTTTTTTTATATATGAAAACGCTCTTTATAAATGGCAAAAGAAGGCGAAGACATGTTGAGTAAATAAGCGTTTTGAGGCACTGCTTTATTCGCTTCTTCTAGTTGGCCTTCTAGAATGGATTGATCGTCTTTACTCACCACGGAGGATGGAGAGAGGTTGATCTCGATAGCGTAACAAAGATCCGTATCACGGCTATGAAGCTCATCCATGGCGGATGTAGAGGAGGAAGAAGAATCATAGGATGTTTCACTAGCATCCAGTAAGCCGGGAATGGCCTCAATATCCAAAGGGCTTAAAATAACACCTCGTCTGCGCGAAAGGCATGCTTTTGATTTTTTACGTTTAACAACCCTTGGACGCGATGCAGGGGCAGCAGTGTCTGTGTTTTCATGGTCGGTGTGTAGAGTGCTCATCAAGGACAACGGAGGCGGCTGACGGTTTTGTTCGGGTGTAGAGAAAGGTTGTTCTGTAGGTGAAAGCAACATTTCTTTCTCTCGCATCACATGCTGCTGTTGTAGCTGGGGTTTCGTTGGTGTTGTTGTGCTGGATGAGGCAAGTCGTAGGTGGATGGCGGATACCCAAGCATCCAATTCTTCTTTTGACTTGCAAGCAATCGTCCAAGCTTTTTGTTTTTTCGTAAGAGGCTCTAATCGGAAGCAATAAAGGTGCTGGTGATGTGGATGCGTGATGGTTTTCACCCGTGCCACCTCACGAAGATCGATCGTTTTTGAAGCGGTGGCTGCATGCTCGTCCTTGTAATACCGTAGTTCAGTATCCAACAAGACGAACAAGCGTGATTGCCAACGTGAAGCGACAAAGGTATTTTTAGTCGTCAATTTCTGTAACCAGCCAGAAAAAGGGGTAGTAGTAGACATGATTCTATTTACAAGTATATATACACAAAAAGGAATGCAAATTGTAAACGAGATAGGGTATTTATACCCGTTGTGTTGAATCAGTAGAATTTGGAGGACCTTTGGGGGGAGGGGGAGCACGAGAGAGGAATCTGGACTCGATTCAATTTATTGCTGTTTTAAAGCAACGACATTTCATTGGTGGATATATTGTTTTTTAATGAACTATATCCTAGACACGTTATCCTCTTTTTGAAATGTAAGGCCAAGAAGTACTGGCAAGAGCCAAGAGCAAAAAACATATACATACCTTTTTTTTTTTTTTTTGCTATAAATAGACGCAAGAGACCTGCCCTTCTAGGTATTTCCAAAACCTTTTTACCATTAAACAGATGCTTAACTGACGCGCAGTAAAGTCGGGGACCGGTCTATTTATTTAGAAAAAGCCTCGTGTCGCTTCATTTACAATTACAGCAAAATAGAGGTGTCAAAGCGCAACCTTTGGGCTTGCGTGTTGTCATATGGTTTAATAAATATTAAATTAGATTGTTGTACAAAATTGTTGACTTTTTGTTGTTTTGAAAACAGGTGACCTTCTCCTATTTTGCAAATGGGCAAAAGCAAACGCTTCTCTTTCTATTTTTGAGGCAAATGGAATAAAAGATTTGAGAAATAATTCTTGAATCTATTGTGTATAGTTCTCATCTCATTCAAAGACAACGCAAAAAATGACCCTCACCTTTACGCAATAGTATTTATTTCATCTGTGATTTCAGGAGAAAAATTCTCGATATTTTCACGGGTACACCACAGTTCCGATGTTTGGGTTTTGGCTCTAACAGGTACTGATAGAAATGCGCTTGGCAGAAAGGGGATTGGATGTGTTGGCCGACGCATTGACTCTCGTTGCCTTTAGAATCTCGAAAACGGATGATCCAACATTCAAAGGATTTGGTTGAAGGCATGTATAAAAGGTGCTTTAAGACGTGGACAACATCATCTCGAATACTTCCTATTGAATTGTCTCATAGCATGTGAGTATCGGAAATCTAAAAGTAAATTGAGCAACTTGTGTGTGTGTGTATGTAGTACGCAGGTACCAACGTTTTTCTATGTTGCCAAGCTTTATTTAAGAGGGCCAAGTTTTTTCTTTGATTGCCTTTTTAGGCAACGAATAGAAACTAAAAAAAGCCTTTTCTAACGGATGCACTGCTTCAAAGTCATTTTACTTGCTGTTCTCAAATCAACCGCTTCATCATTTCGATGAATTTATCATTCAGATGTTCATGACGTTTTTTTTAAAAGTCATGATTGTGTTTTAGCAAAAAAGGCTTTCAAACGTCCTAAAAGGCCTTTCTTCCTCGGAAGCTTTCTTTGATCCGAAACGGAATAGTCTAGACCCACGATAAGATAGAAGCCCTTCTAGTTTAAAGAGGCGGGGCCCCCTCGCTCTACCAAAATACAATACAAAAAAGCTAACGACAAAACAAAGTGTAGAACAGACACCTTGGTAACCCTCCGACCCGCAGGTGAAATACGCATCCTATCCATCTATTGATCCGATCCGACAGTAGTACACTAAGCACGTATGTTTCCAAGTTTAGCTCGACTCGGTAAGAAGACATGCTCAAGGCGCTGAAAAAGGGCCACCCCTCTGCAATAGAGTTTATCGCCTAATGGCGAACACAAGTGTATTGAAATCAGACCAGTCGTTAAAGTAACCGCGTACCATCCCCCAAACAAACGTATATGGTACTAACGCTGCTGTTTTAGGTTGCATTTCTGCTTAGATAATGTTTCGATTCAAACATGGACGGACCATGAATAACACCAAGTGGTTAAACTATTTCATTTTGACTAAGAATTTAAAAAAAAGGTGTGTATGCTAAGGAAGATGAAAAAAAAGTAATTACAGGGAAAGTTAGGGCTCGAAAACCGTGTGCTTTAAATGATCAGGAATAGCTTCATGATAATGATCTAAATGTTCGTCGTAAGCTAGTTTTGATTCTTCTGACAATGTTGTTGACGCCAAGTGAAAAGAGGCATTCTTGCTGTTCAGCTGTACGGTGATGTCTGTCAAGTTTAAATCAAGTGCTTTTGTGATAAACTCTCCTACTTCAGTATTTTCGAAGCTACCGATCAGTAGCTCTGCACCCGCACCATAAGCGTATAAATTGACATCAACACCACTGTGACCATGCGTCGTCCACTGAAAAAGGGGAGGGGAGAAAAGTCAAGGTTAGTACTGTCCTCTATTTTTAGTCTATCTCATCCATGTGAGTTTCTTACGCCTAATTGTGCTCGTAAAGACACCATGTCGGCCAAATACAAATCCAAATTGTTCTCGGTCCCATTTTTAGCGTCCAACAGAGTCTTCAATTCCGCCTCTGTAGGATCAGTAATCCCCAGCTTGTCTTTCAAGAAGTGATTAACAAGAGAGTCGCGATCAGGATTCATTTGCTTGATTTCCTTGGCCAGACGTATCGTCGAGCTTTTGACTCTGGTCAATACATCAGGATACCAAAGATAGACAGGATATTCTGGAGAGACTTGACGCGCCAAGGAAAGACCACCTGTTTCATGATCACTGGTAGAAATCATGATGGTATCAGGATGTTGATCGACATAGTTCTTGACAAGTTGAATGGTTTTTTGATATTCTAAAATTTCATACAAATGCGTGGCTGCATCGCTCCTAAAGAGGAGTTAGATCGATGAAGGAGGGATGATTTTCCGAGCAAAAAAAAAAAAAAAAGCAACTTACGAATGGGCTGCCATGTCTATTCTACTTCCTTCAATCATAAGAAAGAACCCTTCTTCTTTATCTTCTATTGCTTTGAACAGTATATCCAAGGCTTTTGCTGACATATCCGACAAACTTGGCTGTGTTGCATTATCTCGATCGATCTCATAATCCATATGCTAATGACGTATTAAAAAAAAATTAGAAAGGATGTCAATCGTACCATTGGTTTCAGAGCTACTCACATCGTAAGAGAATAAACTGATAGCCGGTAAAATACTGGGATCGTTTGTTGGTAACTTTTCAAAAGCTTCTTTATCTTTGTACATCACGGTGGTCCAATTGTACTTGGTTTTGGCTTCTTCGAACAGGTTTCGGTTATCTGTTCTACAGCTTTCTGGTTTTCCTAGAGTTTGCGGCAAAAAGTGGCAATAACCACCGCCAAACATCAAATCCAAGCTTCTTCCTAAAGGATTCTCGCCTATCTCCTGAAGAGCAATCGTGTTTTCCTGAGAACGCTGTTCGACATGTGCTGCGAAGCTAGCCGGTGTCGCATGTGTGATACGTGATGTAGCGACGAGTCCTGTCAGCATGCGTTGCTGATGTTTGGCGGCTTCGAGGACAGTACCGCACGGTATCTTGTCAGGAGTCACACCGATCGCTCCATTGTAGGTTTTCAGATTGCAGCTAAAGGCTGTCGCACCCGCCCCACTGTCCGTTATCAGTGACGAAGAACTACGGGTTCTTGAATTTCCTACGTGAATTTGATCCAATGGCGTTGGATAATCGTAAGGCTTTCGATGTGTAAATTGATAAAAAGTACGAGCCATGGTGACGGAAGCAGGACCGAAGCCGTCGCTGATCATCATAATGACATTCTTGGGCTTGGCAGGTGGAGAGGAAAACTTGTCAGCAAATCTTGCAGGACCTAATAGAAAAAGGTTAGATCCAAGGCTTTTTCAATGAGGACAATTGTGGGGGAGGGGAATCTTACCAAAAAAAGGCGTCGATGAGGAGAGGAAACCTTTCTCTGTCATCAAGGTGATACTTACTCTCTTTTCAGCAGAAAAGTAAGCAGCTATCCCAAGGACAGATACCAACATCATCACCCATCCGCTTACAAAAAACCATTTACGATTTTTTTTCTATAAAAAGGGAATAATATTTATTAGAGACTGACTTGGAAGAAGTAATAAGCATGTGTCCTTACCACAGATGAAGCATGCTCTAACTTTGCGTGATGCTGAAAGATCCAATATTTGTCCTCTAATGGAATTTCTTCTGTCAAGGCTTCTTCATGGTTCGAGCCTTTGATCATTGGCTGTAGCAAGGGATCACTCATGATTATAATAAAGAAAAGTGAGAGTAAAGGCAAAACAAAAGAGATTATCTGACGAAAAAAGAAAAAAAGGGTATTTAAATCTGTCTCATCTGATAACTTATTAATCTATATAGGCTATTTCTCTGTGTTTGCGTCTGTGCATGTGCGTCTTTGGAATGCGGAGAGAGGCTTTAAGAAACCCTATCCTATCGATCCTCTATTACTATCATTGTGCAACACTTTCAAAAGCACACGTTTTAAAGATAAAGGCTGCAATAGGAGAACGCATTGACAAAAGAAAGCATTCCAAAGAATACGCGTGGATAGATGCTATATATCTAGTTTGCTATTATGATGCTTGATCCTTCGTTCATTACCTTTTAAAACGCAAATTAAATAAATATATCCCTTTCCTGGTTTCTGTAACACCCAATAAAGATCATGATGATGCCATTCCATCCGTCGATCTTTTATGAAAAGTGCAAACAAAACTTACACATGTTGGCAATAAAGTGAACATTCGTCTTAGTAGACCACACTTTGGCTTCTGAAGCATTGCGTAAACTGTACCCTACAAAAACAGATTCACGGCCACCCTTCTTGATAGTTAAAAGACAAAGTCAAACATAGATAGTTAGATGGAATAGCCTTGACAAATGGCATATCCAAGGTAGACACACGTGTCGCAATGAGTTGATAAAGAAATTTTGCTTCTTGTGTGCTTTCAAAAGAGTCCTATCATTTTTTGTCTTAGCAAGGATTTCTCTTCTATTTTGGATGCCAGATCCTAACAAAGAAAAGATTTCCTAATTTTTCATATAAGGGGAGCTATTTTTCATCCAGGCAGTATAGAGTTCCAAAGAGTCACTCTATAAAGGTAGAGTACGCTTTCTACCCATCACGTGGGCTAAGACTTTGGTTACCATTTATTATAAAAGACACAGCCAAATAATGTGACGAGGTTTACTTTTACGACATCCAAGAAACAAGCCACATAATTTTCTCGGAGATCTCCGCTTCCAGAAGCAATTCTTTCTTTTTTTTTCCCTACTCTGAGGAATATCTATTTAAACTTTTTATACAATTTGCAACAATGTCTGAAGAGACCAAGACAAAAAATAATAAGCGTTCGTTAACAGAAAGCTCAGAAGAACAATCAGAAACAAAGAATAATAAACGTTTCAGAAAGGATAAACGTGAGTAGGCATGTCTGCATGTCGCCACTATCTACCTATTTACTCATGTCCCCTTTTCTTTATAGCTTGGGATACAGATGACATCGATCACTGGAAGATTGACGAATTCAAACCTGACGACTCATCAGGCCCATTTTTAGAAGAATCTTCTTTTGCCACTCTTTTCCCTAAATACAGAGAAGCTTATTTAAGAGAATCGTGGCCCCTTATTACAACAGCACTTGGAAAATATGTGAGTTTTTACTGTCCTTAATCCAATGGACTTTAGATGCGCTTGGCTAACCTTTTTGTTTTCTTAACGATAGGGTATTGCTTGTGTGCTGGATTTGGTGGAAGGTAGCATGACAGTAAAGACAACAAGAAAAACATACGACCCCTATGCTATTTTAAAAGCGAGAGATATGATTAAATTATTAGCCAGAAGTGTCCCTTTTCCACAAGTAAGAAAAAACAAACTATACTCTATCATTGGATGATGGGTCACTCAACTTTCTTACTTACAAAATCGACAATGTTAGGCTATCAAAATCATGGATGATGGTATTGCTTGTGATATTATAAAGATTGGTAATATTACAAGAAATAAAGAACGATTCGTCAAACGTAGACAAAGACTTATTGGACCCAATGGTTCTACGTTGAAGGTGAGTGGACAACGGCAGTTTCTTCGGCAGTAATTCACGTTCTCATGTCTCATCCTCCTTCACCTTAGGCGATTGAATTATTGACAAAATGTTACATGATGGTTCAAGGTAATACAGTGTCCGCTATGGGACCCTATAAAGGACTCAAAGAATTACGTCGTATCGTTTTGGATTGTATGAAGAATATTCATCCCATTTACCATATCAAAGTAAGTTTGGCCTTAAAGCTTATCGTTGACTATCACATAACTAACTTACTTGTGTTTTCTCTTTCTACAGGAACTCATGATTAAGCGTGAACTCGCCAAAGATCCTAAATTGCAGTCAGAATCCTGGGACCGATTCTTACCTCAATTCCAAAAGAGAAACGTCAAACACAAGAAGAAGGTTGTGGAACAAAAGCCCAAGAAAGAATACACACCATTCCCTCCTGCACCACCCAAGTCAAAGATCGATTTACAATTGGAAAGTGGCGAGTATTTCTTGAAGCAAAACCAAAAGAAAAAGGAAAAGCAATAAATCATCAGTCACCATTGATAAGATTACCCTCTCTCTCTTTCTCTCTATTTCTTTTGTTATCGTTTTTGCCATTTTCATACGAGTAAAAAAGATGCTATTCTTTGTTTGCAAATAACATGAGGTTGCGTTGGTGTTGGTGAAGGGTTTCCATTGGATCTGACAAAGTGGTATCCAACCGTCTTTCCCAATGAATGTGGCAGACGGATCTCAGGAACAGCCAGAAACAAAAATGTTTTATTTTTAAATTCGCGCCGTTTTGCATGAAAGCTGTCACATTGAATTGACAGTAAAACTTGAGTTTATGAGAGCTGCACATGACGAATCGTTAGTTTCGATCGACTCACCATTTCAGTCGAGAGGATCAGCTATCGCATGAAAATAAAGAGCCATGGAAGCAACAGAACAATTTCCTATTCTTTACCGAAATTTGCTCACCCATGATGTGCGTTTGATTTCATGTTGCCCAACGACAGACCTCATCTTGTTGGTGTCTGTTCAGAATGAGCTAAAATTGTATAGAAAGGGATCCACTCTACTTTGGACCATTGGGGCAGAAGACATTGATGCCACTGTCAATGCCGTGGCATGGCATCCGAATGGTAAAAACCAAAGAGGCAACAAGAAAAAAACGGGTCCCTTTATATTAAGAAAATCTTTTTTTGTCACAGGAAAAGAGTTTGTTGCAGGCTGTAAAGATGGATCTTTATACAATATCAATGTCTGTTATGATAGTCCGCAAATCACAGAATGTGAGCTGTCAGAAATGATACCAGCAGAGAGCCAGTATGCCATCACTTCATTGAGATGGATAAAATATGCACAAAAGAAAACAGAAGAGTACATTGTAAGGTCCTTGTTTCTTTTTTTCTTTTTTTTTTCTTTTCTTTGTCTCCACAGCAAAGCCTAAAACGTTTCTGTATCTAGGAAGGGTTTGATCCAAACGCATTTGACATAGATTCAAAATTACCCTTATTGAGCGAAAAGTCACCACAGCCACCAAAGTAAACAAAGAGCTTGTCTCTTTATGTTGACAAGTGCTAACCTCTTCCTTTTTCTCCTATCGATGAATAGAACACGTATGATTCAAATGGGACGAAAGAAAAGTATACTTCCTTTGAAGCCTGATACCAACAGAGATTCTCAGAGCTTATTACTGGCTGGTAATGCCAATGGTCAACTTTACCTTTTGTAACGTATTTACAATGTCTTGGTGTTCTTTAGCAGAGAAAGGGAAAATTAACCCGATGTAAAGCTTGAATGGCATTTATCCCATAGCGCACTATAGCTTACCCGACGGTACTATCATACAAGATATTTGCATTAAACGCGATGCATCCATTCTACAGTTATTCTCCACAAGCACCGATATACCACCAACCCATCCATACCAAATTCACAAGCTCGACACACAATACCTCAGAAAGAGAAAGGACGAGATTTTGAATATAGCAGACGTGCAACTTCAACTCAACTATCTTTTAGAATACATCAGAGCCAACGTGGATGTACTGAAAAAACATCATGATCATTACGCCCATTTAACAAGGAAAATGGCTGAAGAAGTGAGTGATTGTATTACAAACGTAGAAGGTAAACACACAAAAAAGAAAAGAGAGCCATGGCCCCCCTTTGATGAGATGGATAAACTAAAATGAATAAAGAGAGTGCGATGGCCATGCCTTCGGTGGAATTTATTGGCGCCTTGGCTACGGGTATGGTGACCGAACCTTTGCATCACTTTTTTACTGAAATTCTCAACATTAGGGTAGAGTACAGGGTTCTTTTCTGGGTTTGTTTTGCCTCGTTGTTCTAATTTTGTTATGAAGTAGGGTATTAAACAATGGGAAGACGATATGAATTATGGGCATGTCAATTCATTAATTGTGGCCTCGCAGTACATTTTACCGGCGTGTGATCGAATGCTGATAGAATTGAGTAAATTATACGGTTATAGTTCATGGTTCGTTCCCTCTCTTTACATGTATGTTCAGTGAAAGAAATACTAACGTTTCCTTTTTCTTAGGACGCAGCGTTACGGAGATCTCTTGAATGAGAAAGAAGTGAATAACTGCATAACATATGTTCGAGATCTCATCAGTGTCATGTATCGTTTTATACGTTCTCTGCAAAACGTCATGAAGATCTTTGCAGCCTTTATCTCTTGGGTTTCTGTAGGTAGGTAGGCAGGCAGGCAAGCATCACTCTCTTTCAGACTTTTGAGAACTTATCTCCTTGTGCTAGTTTGGGAAAAAGTGGTAACGTCGGAGTCAGAGTCTTCAAAAATTGATTATATTTGTGATGAACCAGAACTCGTATTGCAATACTTACAGACGAGCTTTACAGAGGATCCATTCAAACACTATTTTGCGTCCACCCCAGATACATCAAGTAAGTTTGAAAATAGATCGATACCACAGACATAGTGGGGCTAAAACGAAAATCCCTCCCTCAGACACGAATCTTGTTCAACTTGTAAACAAGTTAACCAACGGTTGTCATGACATGCTGTCCAAACCCTCGACAACCATATCCACGAAAATTAGACACTTGTCTACACTTTCATTGCTTGGATTGCCTTTGACCGACACCTTTTCACTCGCTTCTCATCTATCTGTAAAGTAAAAAATAAATAAATAAAAAATCTCGCACGTCCTGATGGGGTTGTACTCATCCTCGTTCTTTTTTAGCAGGACAATATTATTTATTACGCCATGTCAACACAGATACCAACGTCTCAAGGTAAGCAAAGCCCTCTTCCCTCCCCCCCCCCTTTTTTTTAACGATCGTTCTAAACCCTTTCTTTTTCAAGTGATCTTGTTACGAAATCATATCAGAAAAAAGAGGATAGAGTACGCTTGTTTCGCTGTCGATGGTCTATTGACAGATGCTCAATTTTTTGATAAACATGAATTGGGTGTGGTAGTAGAAATAGATCAAGGTGTGTATTCTATGAAACCTTTCACTCGTTCATGCCCCACTTACCCAATACCTCTATCTCTAGAGAACTCTTGTTTGCAATCGTATTCACTCGAGCGTCTACCATACGATGTATTTGGCCAGCATGAGATTGTTTCCAGGACGGTAGAGGTAAAGCATCGCTCGCTATGTTTAAAAAAAAAGGTAATAGATAGGTTCCTGACATTTTTCCATTCCCCAGCCTTTTCGAAGTCAACAACTTGTAAAAATGATCAAGGTCAAGATGGGTTGCAACGGTTTACCGCGTAGACGGCTTGTATGTCTGGCACCTTTGAATAGGCTGCTACAGATACGCTCCATGGATGCTGAAGAAAATGAGCAAGAACAAGAGGAGGGTGACTAACCCTTTCAAGACAATTTATATAAAAGTCTCAAGTAGGTTATGATGAAAGGAAATAAACAAAATACAGGATGCTTTTTTTTTTTTTCTGTTTTAAAAAATATGTATAAGCGTGAGGGGGTGGGGAGGGAGAACGCAAACACACACACACACACACACACACACACACACGGTATCTATAAATAGTAGCTTGAATGATAAAATAACATGAAAACCAAATGAAGGGTCAAGGTATAGATGAATGGAGTCAGAAAAAAGATGAAAAAACGTCTATGCATCGCCATGATAGATGCCACTGGCAGCACTGGGTATTCGATCCAGGTCACCGGCACCCGCTGCACCCGCACTACTCATCGTACTACACCACCTTGTCTTTAATTCATCCATACTACTACTGCTATGTCGAAAATTAATCTTGGCTTGAGAGGCACGAGTAGGTGTCTGTGCTAAGCGATGAAAGACATTGGCGCCATTGGGTGTGGATGCTCTTTCTACAGTGGAAGAAGCACTCGGTAATAGAAAAGTACGTTTCACGTTGGGCAACGGCTGTTGGGATAATGTAAGACTAGGAGATGGATCATAGTATCCCATAGGTGAACCAGCGATCCCTTGGATGGATAATTCCCGCAAAGAAGCGCGTCTTTTTGTTTTTTGTTGTTGTTGTTGTTGTAGTGGAGAAGATTTCGGAAGTATCATAAGCGATCGACGACGCTCTGCTTTTTGCTGTTGTGAATGATCATACGTTGCGTCATGAGGAGGCTGCTGATAGTTGGCGCCGCCATGGCCCGCCCAGGAGCTTTGTGAAGAAGAGTGATCGGACTGGAGTGAAGGTCGTCGAAAATGGCTACTACGGATGGAAGAAGTAGAAGACTCTCGATCGTAAACATAGCGAGCAAATTCAGGAGGAGGGTCATGTTCAGGGTGCCTACTCGTACTGGTACTACTATGATGAGCCATGCGATGCTGCCACGACAAACGTTTCTGAATCATATTGTAAAAACGATCGGGTGAGGGTGTGGTGGACTGACGCGTTCGATAACTGCCGTCACTATTCACACGCATCATTCGATTGCCTTTCTCCGTCAGCACACTTGGAGGATGGACAGGCTGGTGCGTCGATGGCCGTGCCGCATGTGTCAGTAGACTGGGGGTGAGGGTCAGCGGTGAAGGAGGCGGCATCAGACCTTCTGAATGCGTACTGCTCCTTCTATCACTCATGGCCATGGCGGCTGCTTCTTCGGGGGATCGATAGAGCGACGGTCGGGGTTCAGGTGTCTCTAATAAACCTCTGACACCGTCCGCGTAAATTCGATCAAAAATGGTGTCGCCTGTGCCGTCGTCCTCGTCCAACCGTTTGTGATGCAAGCTGCTGCTGCTGCTGGTGCCTTTCACTGCGGCCTCCAATGTACGAATGCGTCGTTCATTTTCAGCTGTTGTAGAAATAGCCGCCCGTTTCATGATCATCAAGGTCTTGCGAAGATCTTGTACTGTTTTTTCTAGGTTTTGCATGGTTCTTTGGTGATGCAGATCACTCATGTGAGCGTTGGCAAGATCATCCACGAGACTTTCTACCATGTAACGGCACTCGTCCATCTCGAGCGATTTCAAAAGTTGGAGGGTGCCATCGTACACGAGTTCAGGTGCGGCATTGGCAGGCACACCGTATTGTTCTTCGATAGCATCCATATCGGCCCATTCATCCTGAGGGTGGGTCTCGGCAATGATATCGTCGGCAAAAGTAACCTTTCTTTTATCGCAAGCGGCTGCTGCGTGGGCAGCTTCACTTGTCGATGAGGACACGATCGAGGCGGCTTCCTCTTGGACGGAGACGGCGGCATCAGCAGCAGCTTCTGATTGCAGATGGCGAATACGTGCCGATAAGTAAGCTATTTCTGCTTCGATCAAATCGATGCGTTCATCGTCTAAATCCATGGCGAGGCGATCCATGGGTTCGCCCGTGAGGTGGGAGGTTTCTTTTTCTACATCATACACATTCTTTCTCTCGTCCAAGACTTCCATTTTTTCTGCGACCAGCTGTTCTCTTCTGAAGAGCAATTGTTCCATTTCGATGACGGCCTGTTTTCCTTGAACAAACTGGTCCAGTAACTTGATGAGCAACTGTTTTTTACGCATCACTCTCCATTGGACAGGCACAGGGTTCTTTTTTTTCCTCCGTGTACTACGCCATGCAGGCAAGGAGGGGTGGCTTTGGCCTTTGCCACGACGTACGACGGCAGCAAACTGGCCGCCGAGAATATGGGATATTTGACTGAGGAGGGTATCGTCCAGCATCCCTCCTTCACGGACGGCCTTTTTCAAGACGTCGATGAGCTGGGTGAGCTGGTTATGATGGATGAGCCTTTCTTTGTCGCGTCGTTTCAACACGAGCTTTTGGGCCTCGTGTTCCTTTTGCAATCGGGAACGAGCATGGGTGACTTCGGTGTGTTGTCGTTGCAATTTGGCCATTCTTCTTTCTTGCATGGCCATTTGCTCGCGCACACGTTCTGTTTCTTGCTTCATGCGGTGGATCATTCTCTTTTTTTCTGCTTTGAGGGTATCGACGTTGGCACGGAGGGATTTCAAGAGGGAGGCTTGTTGACTTGAGGTGGATTGCATGAGTGCGACGGTACGGGAATAGTTTCGTTTGACTTGATGGATTTCAGAGACCAACTGTTTGATTTTGAGCTCAAAAGCATGGCGGGTCTCTAAGAGTTGCTGTTTTTCTTGTAATTGTAATTCATGGCGAGCGGCTTCGGATGCGGTTGCAGGGGCAGTGGCAGCATAAGCGGATTTTGTTTTGGCGAGAGCGCGATCACGATCTTTTTGCAACTGAGCGACTTGTTGATGAAGAAGAGATATTTCTTCATCAAATTGGCGTCGCAATAAAATGTATTTTGTTTCTGATTTTTCAAGATGAGAAACGAGTTCTTCTTTGACACGTATATCTGACTGAAGTTGATGAAGGATACGTGCCCATTGAGGGTGATGGTCCCTGGGATGGGAACGGGTGGTGGGGGAGGTGCTGGTGGTGGTGGGGTTGCTGTTTAGATTCTCCTGTGACGTGATGCGATGAGGCACCTCTTGATCCTGTTCCCAAGTAGGTATTGATAATGCTTCAATTTCGATGCATTCTTCATCCTCCACTTTTGCAGGACGACCGGGGGGTGGAGGATGATTGTCTACAGGAGAAGAAGTGGCTGTATAATTACCCTCATCTGAATCATCACGCTGCATGGGATGCTGGTGATCAGAGTCCACGTCGGGCTGTGCTTCCAGTGGTTTGACGAGATCGAGGACTTGCATGCCTTTTTGTATTTCTGCTTTTGCTTTAGCTATACTTGATCGGATGTCCTCTTCCTCGAGAGCGAACGCTTGATCCTGGTGCTGTTTTCTCGCTGAGCGTCTTGTAGTGGGATGAGACGACGCGGCCATGATGTGTCGTTTGCTACGTCTGTGAGCCGCCTTTTTATGACTGCTCTGTTTATTCTGTGATGCCTGTTTGGATGCTGTAGGAGCATAAGGGGCAGTCGTTTCGTAAGAGGCGATACGTGCACGTGCGTCCAACAGTTCCTGTTGAAGGTCTGTCACTGTCTTTTGATAGTGTTGCATCAGTGGGTGCGCGTGAAGCGATGAGGTCGGTTCGTTTTTGCTCAAGTCATTGATCTCACGTTCCATCAAGAGGGTATCGCGTTCACTGGTGACATGAATCAATTCCGTCGACACCTCCTGAAGTCTTTCTCGAAGGTGAGCTATTTCTGAACGTAAAGAGCGAATGTCCCTCTCCTGGTGTGAGGGGGGGTCCGTGGTGGTGGTGACGACGGTCGAGGAGGCATCCGAGACAGCCGTACTCCTGCTGCTGCGTCTACTGGCGGCCAATTCGAGTTTTAATCGAGCAATGTGAGCACGTAATTGATTGACTTCCATGGAGGAGCCAGCAAATTCTTGCTGGATACTGACTTTATTTTTAATGTTTTTTGCACGGTTGGCATATTTCAACGTGTTGAGGGTTTCCATGAAATTGGTATCGGCGGGAGAGACACAGGCCAGCATCAGCGTTTGACTGTTTCCTCCCAAGGAATCCTGCAGCAAACGTGTCAGCTTACTGTCGCGATAAGGAATGTGGGAGGAACGTCGGGTGTCGTCGCCCAAGGCAGAGATCACATTGCCCAAAGCGAGCAAACCCGAATTGATAGCAATCCCTTCTTTGGCACGATCGCCTTGGGCATGGGTACGTTTCAACTAGTCAACAACAAAAGAGGGGGGGGTGAATGGGGTGTGTGAGTGGATCTATCGACAATGCATTGGGCTTACTCTTTCAGAACCGGCTAAATCGACAAAATGAAATTTACTGGCCAAGGTTGTCGACTCTGGGTGGCTCATGAACTGCTTGAGAGTGATAGAAAAGACAGCATGAGAACGAGAAGAGACGGTATTCATGTCGGTGGAAGCGGTGGTACGGCAAAGGGAACCTTTGGCCAGATAGGCCAACAGTTCTTCTGGACGATAGCATCTTTCTTCGCGGACACCGGTCCAATAAATGTTGCCTGCATGATCTTCTCGGATGGATATGTCCGCGATGGTAGGCATGGTGAGTGATGTTCTTTTCATGGCGATGGATGAGGTGGGTTGTTGCTGTAGGCTTAATAGATCGATCAAATCCTCGTTGTATAATTCGAGAAAGGAGACATAGACTTTGTATTGGAATTCGGGCTCGTTTTTCGATCGTTCCTCTAGTCTTTTAAACAAGTCGGTGATGCATCTTGGCACAATGCCTAATCAAAAAAGATGATGAATGTCGATTGTGATGGATAGTCTATGGAAGGAATTCCCCCCTTGGGGTTTTACCTTCATCCTGCTTTCGATCCATCACGCTACTTTCAAGGCCTGTGCCCATACTATAGGTCTTGCCTGAACCTGTTTGACTGAAGAAAGATGGATGAGAGTGGAGGGGTGGGGGTTGTGGGCACTCTCTTTTTTGAATGGATGTTTTGCCTTACCCATAAGCAAGTATGGTAGCATTAAAGCTAGAAAAAGATCAACATAAAGATAAGTGAGTTCATCGCTTGTGCATAGATATGAATCGATGGATTACCCTTCCAAGAATTTCTCCAATAACGGTACGGCAGCTTGGGTGTAGAGATGCAACTGCTCTGTGGTAGGATGAAAGACGTAATCAAAGGTAAATGATTTGTCTGTGCCCAAGAGTATCTGAGGTTCGTTGGGTATATAAGTGATGCATTCTGTACAATTTTCTAGTGCTTCTTTTTGCGTTAAAGGTCGAACACGAAGACCGACTCTACACATGATATGAGTCTCTTTCTCTCAGAGATGGCTGTGCGTGCTCTTTTTTTTTTTTTTTTTTTTTTTTTTTATATTACCTGACGGCGGCTAAAGTCATAGCAACAAAAACGCTTTTTGTAATGAAAACAACTTGCTCTTTTTTCCTTTCCCACTAATGGTTGATCTGATCTGATATGAATTTATTCTTTTGAAAAAGAGAAAGGAGAGATACAAGATAAATAATTTGATTGTCTCTATTAAAAAAAGAAAGGTGTGTTGCACAGAAAAGAAAGCCGTCGTCAAACTAGTAATTCAATGTGTCTGTTCTATGCAGAATGATATACATGCCTTTTTTTTTTTCTCCTATTCTCAACTGCCCACAGGATGAAAGGAATAAGTTTTTGAAAAAAAGGCTGTAGCCACCATCCGCTTCAGGAACGCAGCACCGGTCTATTATGGCTGGAGAGAAACCGAGCGCCTTGATGCTTGCGGCCTTTTTTGTAAACACTTTTAGGCGACGGATAGGTTCAGACTGCGGAAACAGTCATTGTAAACGACCAAGAGTGATTGTCAGATACAATCACGGATAACAAAGGGCTGCGTAAGTGATATCCCTGTGGGGTCCAAGTGGGGTTCAACTATCTGACTTGGCGAAATGCATCCCCTCTGTCCAAAAAATGATACAAGCTGAGTGGGGGGTTGGCGTGCGTTGAAAAGACAGACATAGGGAGGCTATGCAAATAGAAAAAGATGGCCATTCACATAACTTGGCTGGGACAAGTATCAACGAGCCGTAGTGGTGTGTGATCAGGGTAAAGATGAACTAGAGCATCATAGGAGATGTTGTAGACAAGTTGTATGTCATTAGAATGTACTGTGAGGAAAAGGATAGAGAATACGTGATGATGGAGTGAGCTTCCTCATAAAAGATGTTTAGGATATATAATGGACGGTTACTCTATAGAGTATTCTTTTACGGTAGCAAAGCTGTCTAGCCTATGTTTTGTATTGATTTGCTACCTAATGAAGGCCTATGACAGGGTAATCTCAGAGGCACAGTACGCAGATGAGCTATAGTTTAAACAAAATCTATAGGTGCTATGGCCTGGAGTCGGTTTTTCTTTTTTTTTTTTTTTTTTTTTTTTTTTTTTTTTTTTTGCATTGAAACACAACGTATAGGAGAATAAGCCTTATCTACTACTTTCGGATGCTATGAAACAAAAAGGATGGAAATGTATTCAGGCACAAGGGTACGATAGGAGTATGCATCATGACTCTACCCAACGCACTCGCAATGATATAATCATGATGAAAGAGCACGTTGATGAACACTTGTCTCTTTCTTGAGCGACAGACGGATATAGTATAACTTTAACATTCGGATAGGAACGTCGTGTTCCAGATTGTTGTCAGTGAGTGGGAGGGAGGGTTTTCCTTTTCTGCTTTTTAAAGCTGGGAAGGATGATCTCATCGCTATGTGAAATGACCCCCAAAGCCCAATACCCTTCCTACTGGCAAAAAGTATTTTTAATTTTAGAAAAGAAAAAGTTTGTCCAAAGGTCATGAAACCACGCAAAAAAGACGAGTCAAAGAACAGCTTGGTTGAATGCCAAGCTTTTTTCGCAGTATAGTGTGTGTGTGTGTGTGTGTGTGTATATATAGACGGAGAAGGAAACCGTCCTTTTCGAAATAGGCACCCTGTTGGCCCTTGTTTCCGCCGTTGACAAAGCCTGACTAAGTATAAATTGGAATCGACTTTATTAGGCATTTCTTCTCTCTCTAAAAAGCGACAATGTCCGTGTGGGGTCAGCTTTTTCATTGAACCCAAGAAAAAACCTTGTTCTCTCCCCCCCCCCAACGTTTACGTTTCCTTGACAACCCTCTTCCATGACGCGTCGTATGTCATGGATGAAGCGCCTATTCGGTCGAATCAATGTAGATAGCCTGCGCTGCAGAGGGTGCCATGGATAAGAGCGGTGTGTTGATTGGTTATATCTTGGAATGAAAGTGGGTTGGAAAAAAAAACCAAAAAAAAAGGGGTAAAAGGGACCCTTTTTCCCTCCATATCGGAGTTGTTTTTATCATTGTAAGACAATAGAAATATGCACTCGACGGTCCGGAATAGGTTCCGGTTCGTTCAAAAAAAAAAAAAAGAACAAGTCCCCTTTTCGAGATAAAAAACAACAATAGGTTAAAGGTTTTATTTTTTTTTCTAAAATCAGAAATAATAAAAGAGAGGAACCCAAAAAGAACAACAACAATAAAAGAAGGGGAGGGGGTATTCGATAGTCATGATATAATTAAACAAACTAGCAATGTGAGGGCGCGCACAGTGTACAGTGAGTAAATTAAATAAAGGGGAATTATAAAGAAAAGTGGAGATCTTTGGCAGCCACCTTGGACTTTTTATCAATCCATTCCGTAAGACCATAAGCAGCACCACCACCATTCTTATTAGGAGCGACGACTTCCTCAAACAAATTGTCATAGGTCTGATCAAAAGTCCAACCGTAATTGATACCAGGCGATCTTTGTTGAATCGAGCGGTCCCATTGAAGGTCGGGGGCAATAAAGTCATGGTAGGCTGTGATGTAGGGACCGAGGGTATGATTGTTGAAAAGTTGCTGTACAGTGTCTTTTAAATAGGTTTCAAAGGTGTGAGTGATATCAGGGTTCTCCAAGAGCTTGTTGATCATGACGGCACGAGGGAACTTTTTGGGATAGTCCTTGTAAGACCAATTGAGCACATCGACCGCCAAGTTGACGCCAAAGGTACCGTCGAAATCTTGGCCGATATAGTACCATGTGCCGTTGTGAGCGTCATCTCTGTAAGCGCCATCGTTGGTTTGCATTTGCCAGTAACCGTCCCAATCGGCGGTGAGGTATTCAACGACCATGAAACGGAGGAATTGGTCGACATCAAACATCCGTTGGAAACGTTGGATGGCGGAGGCATCCTCAACATGAAGTTGTTGGAGAGCGGTGGTGATTTGATGAATCGCGTCTGAGCCTTGAGGTGAACCTTTGGCAGGCTTCCAAGAACCATAATCATAAGGGTCGTTGAGACATTCAAAGCTGGCACCGGTGGAGCCATCGAACAAAGGACCCATCTCAGCAGGAGGATGGCCGTTGTAAAACATGGCGCTGATATAAGAATAGTCCTTGACATCATCGAGTAGATTAAAGGTGCCATATCCTTCTCCATTGATATAATAACGTACCATGTTGGCTCGGTTGGCATACGTTCCCATGGCGTGAAGAATGTCGGCATAAAGTTTTTCACGGATTTGTGTGGGATCTTCTTCCATGTTACGGATCTTGAATTGAGTGCGAGCCTGGAAAGTGTCACCAGGCGATAATTGCCAACGCCAGGATTGTTTGGCAGGATTCTGAGACTTGCCTGCACCACTGATACCCCAGGTCACATTATGGAACGTCTTGACCCAATCTTTACCAATGAACGTGAGATCCACGGGGAACTTCTTTTTCGACACATTTCTAATCATTTTGGGAATATCTCGAGACTGTCCGTTGACAAAGATGGAAGGAATGTAATTGGAATCAAACAGGTCGACGTTCTTGTCATCGCGCCTCCATTGCTTTCCGTTATCCAAGGGACGAGGAAGTTTAGGCAATTGAGCATAAGTGACAGGGCGTCCAAAAAACTCGTTGTACGTCTCTTCTTTGCCAGACGTCAACTGACGCGTGAATTCTTCTGCTTTATCATCCGCAATGTATCGATAAGAAGTCTCTGAACCGACATCGACTTTACCCGTGTAGAAAGGTACATTGTTGTAAGGCGCTTCCAAGGAGGTTGTTTTGCCATTGACTTTGACTTGGACTGTTGTAGCGCCCGGTGAAATGACATTGAAGGTCACCTGGCCAGCTTCAGCCGTGGCCAGTAACAGAGTGGCCAGAGTAAAGAGTGAGAATTTCATCATAAAGAAAAAGATCTTGTTAAAGAAAATAATTTCAATTTGAACTAAAAAGAAAAGCTAAACAAACAAAATAAAAAAAAACAAAAAACTGGTGGATTTAAACAAGCTTTTTTTATATGTCCCTTTTTTATTTCCAAAAAAAGACAGATGCCTAAAAAAACCCAGAGTTCAGAAGGGTGGTCCATGCGTCGTAGTGTTTCAAAATTGGGGGGAGTGCAAAAAACTTTTTTCATTTTTGGGATGCATTTACTATGCTGGCCCTCCTACTTGAGCAGCTGCATCCCATTGAGATTTAGAAAAGAAAAAAAGGCCCTCTTTCCTTTTTTCTGTGGACCTTTTTTTTCCATTCTTCAAGAAAAAAGAGAAATGCCTTGCATGAAAAACAGTACAAGTCTCTTGAACAGAATGGTACCCTTCTTTACGCATTTGGTTTTGCCGTCATTGTAAAAAAAAGCGCGGTGGGTTACTCCATAGAAGGAACATGTCTCTACACATCTCTCTCTCTCTCTTTCTCTTTCGCGTACGGGAAAACACCTATTTTTAACCTTTCAGTCATCATGCAATAAGTAAAGAGCATTTATTGGTGCATCGAACTGAATTGGATTCAGCTTGGAAGGACATGGATTGTATGCATACAAAGAAACGCGCGACTTTTTTCAAGTTCCATAAACAATTAACCAAAGTATCCCAAAAATAGAATATCATTTGGGGGGTGGGGGCGGGGAGGCAAGGGCAAGGGAAAGCGCGGACAGCTCAAAAAGAGGAAATTTGTTTACTTTTTATAGCTCCTACTCTTTTTGCTCAAAAGAAACTACCAAAATTAGAAATGCCAACCTCTTGAGTGGGTCAGTTCAAAAAAACGGGAAAAAAAGCCCCATTTCAACTCAAAAAATTTCTTTTTCTTTATTTCAAAAATACAATAGGGTGTCATGTTAGTATCGCTTCCTACATCACGGAGAAGCCCATTCATTCCTCATTTTAAGTGAGGAGCATGCAGGATAAAAAATGAAATAAAGGCAAAGGGGATTGGCTTATCGATTTTTTTTTTTTTTTTTTTTTTCCTCAAAAGAAACCCTTTTTTTTTTGTTATGCATTCATCTGTACCTCCTTTTTGGGTAGATCAAAGTTTATTCTTTTCTGTTGCAAAAAAAAAGAAAAAAGAAAACCTTATTTTATCCAGCACACGTCAATGCCTTTATCTTTGGTGAAAGATATTTCTTTTAGGTGACCTTGGCTTTTAAAAAAGGAAAAAAACACCCTTTTCGTTCCTTGTTGACTAATTCATTGCAAACGTTCCTATTTATAGCGTTTCTATGGTAATGCTTTCCACTTTTTTTTTCTTTACGTTAAAGGTAATTCTTGCATAAATGTTTTGGCTTCCTGAAAGAGGACATCACTCAAGTCAGTGACGACTGTCTCAAGGGAAGGGTCGGAAGAGGATAATGGTTGTAACAAAGAAGGGGAACCTTCCTTCACCATGGCGCCATACACCCACTGAATCGTCGTTTGCCATCGCTCGTGCGCAAAAGTCCCTTCTTGCCCAGTGAGATAACCTTGCATTTGTCGTTGTAAATCAGCCAAATCCTGCAAATCTTTTTTTAGACCTTGGATGCTACTGCTGCTTTGCTCTTCCTTCCACTTTTCTTTCTCTGTCCTCAGTCTCTTTTCAAACTCTTCTTTGGATAAGGTGGATGCTTGCATCCTTTGGAGTATCTGAGGTGCATCATACGTCTCTGACAAGTGTTGATCAAGCACCTAATGAAAAAAAAAAAATTGGGGTCAAACACACAGGCCATTGTTTTTTGGCTTTTTTTTTTTGGGGGGGGGAGACGCGTATCATAAACTCTATCTCGCCAAGAAAAATTGAGAATCCATTGCTTACATCTAAATAAGCTATACAGGCCTTGTAAAAGACATGGACTTCATTGATAAGGATACTTTGAGCACGTCTCACTTTACGATAAAGTTGTTTGAGTGTTTGGATATCACGCGCTTCTTTGCACACACGAATTAAAAACAGGGTATATTTGGTATTGTAGACGTAATGTTTTCCTGGTCTATAGACAAAAGCTTGTATTAGGAATCTCTCTTTTTCTTTGACGGCTTGGTCGTAGACTACTTACAGCTCAAAACTTGTCTTCCAAATGCTAATGTAATTTCGCACCTTTTCTTTGAAAATGAACAGCTTCATCAGTTCTGTCTTGGCTTTTTCACTATCATGATAGACTTGATCGTACATCCAAGCAATCTATTGATTTTTTTTGTTGGAATTTAAAAAAAAACGATAATGATGCGAGATGTTGGGTTTCTTACTCTATACAAGGGTCGATGATGCCAGCCTTTTGTATCAAACGCTCGAATATCATTCAATCGCTGCAAAATCATATCATACACTGCCCTCTCGCTCTCCTTTTCCACCTCTGTCGTCGTCGCAGCAGCTGCAGCTGCAGCTGCAGATTCGACTGGCTTGGGCGTGCAAAAGGACACTTTTTTTTCTTGGGCAATCCATTCCCTCACACACTCTGGACTCATTTGCTGTTTGAACAATTGCTTCAGTAACGTGGAATAAAACAAATAGACAGGTTCTACAATAGGTTCTCGTTTCTCCTTTTTCTTTGGTTTGGCTTTTTTAATCGCTTGTAAATAATACACCAGGGCTTCCTACGGAGGCAGAAAAAAAAGGTGAGTCTCATCGTCTGGGGCTCCATCATTGGCCCCATATTTTCTTACTTGAGGGGGTCGTTCGAGTTTGACAAGACATTTGCCCGCCATATAACTTGACCTTGCAAATAATGAAAAGAATCGGGGGGAGGGGCGGTGAGCAAAAAAAAATAATCCAAAGTGGGGGTGGAGTGGCTTGCTTATGTTACCTCCATTCATCCAAAGCAGGATATTTGAGTGCATGGCTATACATGAGAAAAGCCAGTTTATAGATAGACTTGGGTTTCGGAGGCGTGTGAGGAGAGGCGCTGACAGCACCCGTTGCATCCATGACCGTGATAGTGTCCTGGTGCTCAAATGCCGCCATCTGCATCGGCGGTGACGCCATCGAATACAATAAATGACCAAATTGAAGATACAAACCATATTTGACCGCGTCTTGAGACGGAAGTGCATCCAGATAGAAACCTCTAATATAAGCATGAAAGGACATCTACACCGGAAAAAAAAAAAAAAAAACCAAGCAAAAGGGTTGAGACATCGATCTGCTTCTCCTTTGACCCCTCCCCCCTCCCCAGTGGCCTCTTCTTTTACCCTTTGAATCTCACTGATATAGTTTTTACGGATCGCAATATTGGAAGCACTCCAATTCAACTCTTCTTCCGCCAACAATTGATAACAGGCCGCTAATTCATGCCAACCATCTGCATCATTGGGGTTCAACATGAGATGATACTACAAGAAAGAGAGTGAGCAAGCATCTCCAGCGTCGGAAACCTCCTATTGAGAATTACCTTGAATTGTTGCACAGCCATCTCTAAATCGTTCATATTCTTGTCCGTAGCGCTACCCTTTAATCGATTGGTAATCTGTATGCGAAGTGTCTTGCCTCGGATCCAACATATTCTAAAAAAGACAGCTTTCAAGAGAGCAAAGACGAAAAAAAATAAAATAAAAATGAGGCCCCTCAACCCACCTTCATGCTATAGCGTGGCTCTACTTACGGGAGGTATGGGTTTTTTCAGGACAAATCTCCACGGTGGGAAGGATGGCAGTACGTTTGACTTGGTCAAAAGACGAATGAAATCGGATCCCTCTCTTGAGATAAGCCTCTATCCTATCCGCATTTTGCTTGATCCAAGGATGACCCTTGGGACTGAGCTCTTCAAAATGCTCAGAAACCGTATCCACCACATCTTTTAAATCCGCTTTCAACAGCTGTCCACTCTTCAATTTCTGTACCGCTGCCTCTACAATCAAACCAAACAGCGGTGCCGCTGCTTTTTGATCCATCTTTAAATGACTACAATGGTGCTCTTCAATGGCATCCGTTTCCGCCTAAAGCAAGACAAAACAACAACGGGTTCAATACCCACAGGGGGTTTCTCAAAAAAAAGGAGAGGCAAAAGCAAAAAAAAAAAACACTTACAGCAAGATGGACACCATAAAGACAATGATAGCATTGATAGATATCTCTTCTAAATCGCTTATCATCTACTTTGACCAGCGTCTCTAACAGGTGTTGTAAATAGATGCCATTCGATGCATCACAAATTTCTCTTTCTCCAAGCTCGTCATGAAGTTCTTGCATCACTTCTGCTCCCAACGATAAAATAGCATGCATTCCTACATCCTGTTGCTGCTGCTGCTGCTGCATCTGTTGTCGCACTTTGGTTTGCACCAAAGACGACTGGCACACCCACGCCTTGACAATCACTTGGTTAAACACGTTGCCTTTGCTTGTTTTCGACGGTCGATGCTGTGGTACATCCGGTTCAGTAAAATTATTGACCAACGGTATAAAATCAGGATGGCGGAACAAGTAGTAAACCGTCATGCGTAACAAACACGCGAGCTGAGCAAACAACGTTGGATGCGTTCCATCCAAATAATCTATCATGTCGCGTAAAAAAACAAGTCAGCATCCGAAACTGCCTCCTTTCATAAAAAAAACACACCTTTTTTACCTTGCGCTTCTTTTGTTTGCTGCTGGATCAGGAGAAAGGTATCCAAACTATCATTGATCTTGCTCACATACTGGAAAAACGCCTTGTTCCTTTCTTTGTTGAACCGCTGTTCGATCGAAAGAGGCTGGTTGCCGTACAAAAGCAACTGCTGCATTAAATGACAAAACACAAACGTGCTGCACCTCCACGCTTCCTTGACACGACCCGTCTTTTTATACGCTTCACTGAGCATGCTCACCATCTGAAGCGTCTCGTCTGTCGCTCCTAGTTCTTTTTCTTCTAGCAGCGGTACCACCACCTCTTCGAGCACCTCAATCGCCCCTTTCTCATCGCCCTCTTTCATCTTTTTTTCTGCCTCTCTATATAAACGGACCACCTGAAGAAGCGCCAACTTTTTCTCAAGACCCTCTTGACACATCTTTGCGTCATACATGCTATACCGGGGGGCGGAAAGGAGGATGAATGGGAAAAATACAAGAAAAAAAAAAACAAAAAAAACAAAACACTCCCTCATTTACCTTTGCCCATGGATCTCTCCTCGAGCAAGTGTCGTCCACTTGTCCATCCATGACATGGCTTGAACATACCAATGGTACGCGTCCTCAATAGCATAGTGACATTCTGCTCGTTTGGCTTTGACGATACAATAACGTAGATACATTTGGCGGCAAACACCCTCGTTATCGTGGTCGCCGTTCATCGCGGACAGTCTCTCTGAACAGAGGTATTGATCGACAACACTGCTCCATACGTCGGTTTGCTCTGTCAATTCCTCTTGTCGTTTGCGTCGAGCGGCCCACGACGTTTTCTTTCGTTGACTACTACTACTACTACTACCACCATGAACAGTCGTCGTACTCGACCGTAACCTTTTCTCTTCCTCGAGTTGCATCGTGTTTCGTATCAATCGATCCACCATATATTCAGCCATTCTCACTGCCATCTAAATAAAAGGGGGCAGACAGGTGAGGCAAGATTTCTCTTTTTTAGAACAAACCACCGGCGGGCGGGTGCTTACTTTTAATTTTTCCTTTGGCGACCAAGAAGAGAGTTTCTGGATGAGGTTGACTTCCAACAAGGTAATGGTATCTGTCAAAAGGCCTAATAACGTGTCCGATAGGGGCTGACGTGATTCTATCTCCTTGTCTTGCTTTACAAAGCTTAAAATACACTGACATAACGCATCCGTGATGCCAGAGTTATTTTCGTTCAACTGTTGGACAGGCAATGGAATAGCATGACGGTCGCTATGGCTACCCTCGTTGTCCCAGGTCGTACTCGGTGTCAATAGCAATGGCTTTCTACTACCCTCCGTAAGCCTATCTCAAGAGGCCTATGCGTTAGCATTGCTTTACAAGGAAAAAAAAAAATAATTCTTCCCTTCCCCGTCCACTTACACTAGATTCGATTGAGACTGGATATCCCAGCAATAACCACTGTCCAACTCGGATACTTTGTGATCAAACCAATGCCAAAAAGCCGGAAAGCTTTCACCTGCATCAATAAACGATGCCTCCACAGGCAAAAGTAATCCCATGTCCTTCATCTTGTCATAGTACGCTTGCACTTTGTTGAGAAATTCCTTTTCTTCTTCCATCATCTTCTTGCGAGACGTTTCTTCATTCGCGATTTTTTCTTTTTTACGCTTAAACGTTCTAATGTTAAAAAAAAAGAGGGGGGTGGGTTGCGTATTCAATAAACCTGATAAGAAATACAACACACAACCCTTGGGTTACCTTAGAGAGGTTCTTTTCTCTTCTGCTTCTTCCTCTTCGCCGTTATCATCACCTGTCTCTTTCTTTTCTTCCTCTTCTTCCTTGCTTCTTTTTCGCTTTTTTCCTGCTGTTTCTTCGTCCTCTTGACCAGCAACACTATGGCCTGCTTCTGCCATGACACGATCGCTCACAGTGGTTTCCTCCTCAAGAGACGGTCGTCCATTGTCCTGTGCACTATGGCTGCTTTTTTTCTTTTCCGATAATCCTTCACCCGACTCTTCCGCCTTGCCTGCTTTTGTCTCGTCCAATGAAATAAAAACAGGGCGGCTATAAAAGGTCGTGTTCAACAAGTGGTCTGTGGGTCGTCGTCGGTGGTTGCTCTCCTCTGTATCGATGGGACGTCCATCCTTGTTTTTACATGCCTCTTCCAACAATCCCGTCAATAGAGCATTCCACGTAGCCTCTTTTAACTCAATCACAATCGGCTCCCCGCCTGAATCGTCTACCTCCGTCGTCATCTCCTCTTTCTCCTTTCTGTCTCCTTTTTGCCAACCGGGATAGGCCTCCGTCACAATGTCCGTATAAAAGGCGCTTAAAGTGTCATCGCCCAACTCGTACAACACCTTGAAGAAAGACATTAGCATACACTATAGCATCGGATCCACCCTCCATCCACCTACCTCACAAAGCCCCTGAAGACACTTCCATTGCATAGGTGATAATTCTCCCTTTTTAATCACTTGGTTCACTTTCTCCGTCATCGACACAGGCTGCTTGCTGCTGTTGTTTTTCGCTATGGATTCGACAAACGCTGGACAAATGCCATGTTCATAAGCCAACCGTGCCAAGCGCCACTTTTTGGTTTGCTGACATAAATATCCCGCTGCATACCACACCGCCTGATCGCTCGCGTCTACTTTTAAAGCTTGTAAATATCTCTGAATCGCACTTTCTGCCAACGCTCCATTCGTTCGATCGTCTTTAAACTCATCTTGCAATAGACTGGCATAATTTTTAAGCACAAGATATCGTAACGTCGTCAATGTCGGTCCTTCATCCTCATGCCATGTATCCTTGTCGTCCACTGTCTTTGAAGGGGAAGCGGAAAACCATGTTAGCCCGTCGTCATGCCGTCTCTAGGGTGCAACAGCCTACCTCTTTCTGTTTGGGTTCAATTAATTTGTTGGCTAATAACGACTCGTAATGTTGTTTCGCTTGTTCTCTGTCTCCTTTTAAATGTATTTGTAACGCTTGTTTATATTTCAGCAAAAGTTGTTCAATCTACAAAAAGAGAGAGACTTACAGACTGAGCCAACCGACCCTCTCAAGAAAATACCGTAGGTTCTTACCTGGAGTTCAGTAGCATCATCCGAACTATCTATCACGCCTTTATTCACAGTACGCCAACTCGTCTAATAAAGAGTCGTGAGACAAAGACAAGCCTTTTTTTTTTTAAATAGATATCGACGCCATTTTACCATAGAAATCAAAAAAAAAAAAGGGTACGTGCGCGCGTGTGGAGAAAAGCGAAAGAATACAACAATTGAAAAACTCGTTTTTTTTTTTTTATGCCCGCTTTTTTTTTTTTTTTTTGTTCCCTGATCTCTCTTGATCAAGGGCGAAATTTTTTTATTGGATGATGATAATTACACGATACGTTCGTTTATTTCAGATACATGACTGTCGTTCTGCAATAAACGCATAGCATCACGAAGTTCCAGGAACAATTGATGGATCATTCTCGCCGCAGGTACTTCCACCGGCGGCATCGTAAACATGGCGAGGAGCTTTTTGACTTGCTTTCTGAATTGATTGAGCGATATATCATGATCAATGGCCTCTGGATGTTGATGCAACGCTGTATCATTGAACGTCAACTAAACAAAGAGAAAAGACTTTTTGAGTGACGGGCTGGAGGGCTCTTTAGGTGGTGGTGATGGGGCTGTCTCTTTTTCTTACCTTTTCATCCAAATTTTCCAACCAATGACTCCATTCATAAGCGTACATCATCACCATTTCACTTCGACAAGCAAATAAAAATTGTAGCAAAGACAACATCATGTTCCATACCGATAAACCTACATTGGCCGTCTACCCAAAAAAAAAAAACATGGGTTGGTACGCGTTTCCAACTACGTTATCCTATCATCAAAAAAAAAAAAAAAAAAAAGAAAAGTCCTTACCATAAATAAAGTCGAGATATCGATCGATTCCAACAGTTCGCGAAGAGCTGGCCATAAAGAGGTCCAAAACAAATGGGTATTCCATTGCACAGAGCTCGCACCGCCCTTCTTGGTAGGTAAATGCGATGCTTTAAGTTTCAAAAGTGTATACGTCTTGATCAACAAGAACCACAGCAGCAATTTCTCGCTGGTCGCACTGTAAGGGAATCCTAGGTCCGGTGCATGGAAATCGATATCGATCGACTTGATCGTTTGCGTCAGCAACTGTATCATGACTGCTTCATACGCGAGCAAGTCAATCACCAATGTATCCGCTCCTTCTTTGAGAATCGTTAAAATGAACCAGTTGAGAAAACGTAAGCATTCTGTACTTTCATCGAGCTATCGTATACAAAAGAAGGTTGATCAAAAAATGCAAGCCAGCCTTTTTATCCGAATCGATGCTTTACCTTCAAATAGCTAAAGATGATCACCATCAATTTTGGATCCTTGACACACAGGGTCATGATCAACCTTGCCACACAGCGATAGCCCTTGAAATCCTTTTTTGTAAACTGTTTACTCAGCGATGGCCGCTTATTGTAGGTCACCAACGAGGGTAGCAAGTGCAATAGCTTGTTTTCAAAGTACGCGCTGTGCTGATGTCGGTAGCCTGCCTCGCCCAACAGCGTCGCTTCCATCTCAGTATACCATTGGCTGCCGGCCGGCGTTGCGTCCCAGACCACGAGCTCTAAAAGCAGCACAAAGGTATCCTTGTTCAGTCGAGAGGAGGCCGCAGAAAGCGCGTTTTTCAGTTCGTCCACTATCATGTCGACAAAAACATTGTTGGGCTGAACACCCGGTATCGACACGAGAGCGCTATAAGCCGTCATCAGTTGGACGACCGCGCCCGGTTGAAGCGTGCAATGGAGTAAACCATGCTTAAACACATGTTGTATCGACGGTATCAGTAGCGCATGTTGGTAGGGATGTTCCTTTAATAAAATCGCCGACATGGTCAACACAGGGTTGATGTCCCAATCGCTCCGCCGCCAATCGCTCGTGTGCTTCACCAGTAGATGAAGAAAGCTCGCATAATCCGCCAAGATGCCTTCGCTATACGAGTGGGAATGCACGCGTTCCACATAACAGCTGGTGTTGTGTAAAACAGTCGAAAACGCTTTGCGGTCCATGGGCTGCTTCATGAGTTTATCCAACACATCCCGCAGGGGCTGGTCACGGAGATAAATCACTTCACCTTGCCCACCGCTACTACCTCCTCCTCCTTCATCCTCATCAGGAATGATATCGTCGGGTTCAATGACGGTGCGTAAAACAAAAAAGAGATCCACTTCGTTCTTGGACCTGTCCGATACGCTTTGATTCTTAAACATGAGCACGAATAAACCAGCAATCGCGAACCGTAAGAAGGCACTTTTGAGAAACTCTTTTGCTTTCAAGTACACAGGATCAGACGTCCGCGCACCCCCTCCCAGCTTGGTCATGAGCTTGCCCAACGTCAAGATTTGCTTTGAGAGGACCATCGCCGTCAAATGATCCGACCGCCGCAACAAGCATTTGAGAATCTCGAGAATAAGCAGCTTGCTTTCCTCACTAATGTCCTCTGTGAGCAACCCTATGATGGCCTTGATGCAACTCACAACACTCTGTTCGTATTCTCGTTCCAAAATATCGTGCTATCACGCAAAAAAAGTGAGTAAAATAGATCGGGTGGTTGAAAGGGAGAGAAAGAAACATGTTACCTTATAGACGACAATCAATACAATCTCTAACCATGTCTTTAATGTCAGGTGACCCAGTGAGGTGAGATCCACATCAGAGCTCACCATCTTTAGAACCACATCGATAAAGTGCACGCCAGGACTATCGTTTTCCGCTAAATTCACCCTCTCTTGATCAAGATAATCCGTGGCCATCGAAGCTACCTTTTCCGCGGCTAAAGGTGCAAAACTATCCATGATTTTTTTCAACCCTCTCGAGCATGCCATCATAATAGCTGCTTGCGTTGCGTCGTTGGGGTTATACCGTAAAGGGCCAAAATCAACGGTCATCTCTTCACCCTCCATCGACAGGTAACAATCTTCAAACCCCATATGCCGTACAAGCGCAAACTTCAAACGTGATATTTCTGGAATGCCAATCGTCGTATGATTGCTTAGCATTTGCAAAGCCAACGTCAACAGTAGCACTTTGACATTGTTGGCGTGAGCTTTCTGTGAGTCTTCGTCTTCTTCTGCCATCCTGTTTTCAGCATTCAAAAGAGAACCCGCCTCCGTTTGGGCAACGTCATCTGTATCTAACGCGTCCAAGATCGATTCCCATTGCAGTACTTGCCAGTCAGGAAACAGGGCATTGAGACGGATCATGAGACTGAGCAGCGGCATTTTTTGCCTATCAGTCGCTGTCAAAAAGTACGCTTCCCAACACCGAAATGCGGAACGTAGGTGAAGCGTGCCAAACGCACGCACCATCGCAAATGCTTTGGATCGGACGTATTCCTCTTTATCCCATAAACAACCAATAAAGTAACTGAAAACAGGGCCTAAATGGGAAAGTTGGCCTAGCCATTCCGTTTGAAAGTCTGCATCCATCTTTGTAAATAAACCAAACAAATGATCAAGACCTTGATACCTTGAAAGGGACGGGTCAGCAAAGGATGTTGTATAACATTTTAAAAGATAGAAAAGCTTTGTACCTGACTTCCCAGTTTGTATCTTCAAAGATTTTAAATACGCAGGCTTGAAAGTACCTGACATCGACTCGAATTAAATGCATTAGCAGAGATAAATTGACATTACTCATATAGTCGTACGTTGGAGTCAGCAGCTCCCATATACTTAAAGATGAAGAAATGTTAGTCATAACTGAAACCCCCCCCCCTAGCAATAACGGATAAAGTTACTCTTACGTTGGGATCAACTTTTTCATACACTTTGACATGAATGCGTCCTTATTGGAAATGGCACCCCACTGAAACAAAGCGTAAAACATTTTGATCACCTCCTCACGAACGTTAATTTGGTCAAACTGCAAATAGCTCAATAGGGATTGGAATAAAGGTATTGAGTCATCCACCTGAATCATAGGTGTGTTTTCCATAGGCTGTGTATATCGCTTGCTCTGTCTACGATGCATAGGTGAAAGTACATTAGATTTCCTATCTCGCCTTTCCTTTCCAAGCATCTCGTGGTCACTTACATCGTGTTGCCACTTTGATTCACTACTAAAGGAACAATACCCATGTCAAACACATGCTTCAAAGGACAGCCAAAAGCATAGCAGGTTAATGCCGCAGAGTATTTCACAAATTTTTGGGCGGTCAACAGGCTTTCGTCCGATAAATTCTGGTTTTCGTTGCTTTCTTTCACAGTCATCAATGCCGTTTCATTCAAATAACTTACGACATCGATGACTGTGCTTCGTGGAGTGACTACGTTCATCAAATTTACGACTTGAAACCACATCATTTTGACAAATTCAGCTATGAGATCCAAGGGTGATTGCGCAGCAACCATCAGTCTTGCCATGTGTGCCAAGTGTTTAGAGGGAATCCCCGTTCTGTGTAAAGAAAACAATGACATTCAGTAACGTCATCTCTCTATTTCAACGTAAAAACTAACCAAACTCACCCTGAATGTGTCAAAAGAGATAACCAGCGTATACCACGGACAATACTCAATGAGTCACTTTTCTCGAATTGTACCATAATGATATCAATAGGATTCGCTACGTCTGCCAACGAACTATTTGATTTGGGGCTGACCTTTTGTATGAGAGCTTTATAAGCACAGAATTTTGCTAAACTACGTATATCCACAGGTGTTTTTTCCTAAAGAGGGTGTCAACTCTGTCCTATCATTATGTTAGAGCTATACATCCATGGCTTTTACCTGTAGAATGTTCAAGCTATTGAAAGCCTCATACGAGGTGTCGAACCATTTTTGCAAGATGGAAGGAAGGGCTGTGAATGTTAATCCATTTGATTTGAGTTTCAGAATCAGGCCAATAAACCTATCGTATTTATCTATCACATTTTGCTAAAGAGGGTTTTCGATCAACTTATGGCTGTTATCCGAGAATAAGGGTACCACTCACCTTGATCACATCTGCGCTGTTTTCCTCATTGAAAAGTGTAGCATCTTCCAGTTCGTTGTCAACAATGTTGTCTACAATGGTGAAAAGTGTTTCACTGTAAAAGTGTTTGTCCATATCATGTATAGCAGCCATCCACTGCATAACGTAACGATCTCGTAATGCAGCACGCGTTGTGACATACAGACTACTAAAACCGCTACTGATGCCTGCTGTAGGGTGAAGGTTACTTTGTCTTTTATAGCGATCAGCAGCAGTAGCTCCGTGCAACACACCACCCCTCAGTTTCGAAAAGACGGCCGCTTGAGTCCATCGGTTGTCATTTTTGCCGCGTGATACAGAATGATGTTTCATGGTAGACGTGTACTCAGCGTGAAGCATCAACAACTGTGTGTCTTCGATGAAAATCCACGATACAATCGTATGCATCAATCGCTCCTGTAAAACGGGAGACATCGATGCGCTTGGCCAACAACGACGAACGAGAAGCAACAATCCACATTCGTTCATTGATAAGTCAAAATCTTGTAAACAGGCGCTGATCGAGGATAGAACAGCTTCGAATTGAGGCGAGTCATCCACAGCGTAGGGCACGGGAAAAATACACTGCACTGTCTCCATGTCTTCAGAAAGAGCGGCCGTATTTTCCAGCCTGGCAGGTTGGAAAAGCATAGGGGAGCCATCGAAACGTTCCAAAGTGCCAAGATTGCGCATGTGCTGTAATAAGATTTCCGTTGCTTTTTCGCTTTTGAATCCCAAGACGGTCATCATCCACGAGAACAGCATAGACCTCTCTAAAGATTCGTTCGGTGCTTGGTTTTCATCCCCTTGATCGTCGTCCATATCCCACATACTAGGACCACCACTGGGACTGCCACCACCCAAAGGCGGCATGGTGACTTGTAAAAATCCTCGTGCGTCACCGCTGGACAAAGAAGGTTTATCTGCTGCTGCTGCTGCTCTTGGGGACGTTCCTCCCGTAGACGCTTGTGAGTTTGCAGGATGGGATGCATCCGTCAAACATTTCATCAACGACGTCAAGTGAGATAAGTAATTTTCGCGGTTCAGAAAATAGCCATCTTCAGCATCCTCTGTTCCAGTAAAATCCTTGTAGAACACTGAAGGTTGACATTGACCCGACTTTAGGTAGTCTTTGCAGCGTTGGATAGCGTCAGCGAGCACTGGACAAAAGGAAATCTCGCCATGACAAGCATCACCGCTGCTGGAGCAGCCGCCCTCTTGTAGGTATTGCTCAGTGGTGGCAGAGGAAATAAGTGGATCTTTTTCTGATGCATTGACAATAGATAAGCAACCAGCAGCCACACCGTAATGGAGAATGGACTCTTGCAGTTGAAAGATATTCAGCAGCACACCTACCTCGTCCGCAGTTTTCTTTTCCAACGTCAGCTTATCGAGCAACAGCGCGTCCCCATAGTACTCTACCAAGCTTTCCGACAAGGCGGCTGTCGTGATTTGTATCTCGCTTTCCAACAACGGCTGAAAGGGTGTACACGTTTGAAAATGGCTGTTTTTGGCAAAGTAGCCTGTCTCCTCGGCGTACGCCAAGCAATGAGGATGAACGAAGCGATTGCATTCAGAACAGCGGTAAGCTTGATGACACAGGCCCCACAAAGGCAAACTGCAGCCAGCGCAGAGTAAGAGAGTGCTTGTATTCACAAGCTGAAATAAGTGTCCGAGCAGCGCCACCTCGACTGAATTCGTCTTTACGCTCCCATGGCGAGCACCGTGATCAAAAAGACGATTTTTGGATCTTAGGGAGACGGGTATTCTTGAAAAAAGCGGGGTAACCACTTTCTGGATACCACCTGCTTTAATATAAGACATGATATTCTGATCACTTAAATCTATCAGCACTGTATCATTGTAACAATGGTAGTGTACATTGGCATGGCATTGGTGACAACGAAAGCCAAAGCCTTCCATTCGCTTGAAGCATTCTTTACAGAAAGGTTCGCTCATATTATTGTAGACAAAAGTAGGGTCTGTATTCAGACTGGCTTTATTAAGACGATGGGTATCCGCTGTTTCGGAAGATTGCTTTTCAGGAGCGGTGATGGTATCAAACATGTGCGGGTACCACGTATGTTCGTCTTGTTGCAAATTTTCTTTTGAAGAGTGTCTGTCGCTCATCTTGTGTCCTTTTGACAGAAGCGGTGAATAATGATCAGTCGGTGGGTAGTGGTTGTGGCGATAATGCTGTGGATAGTGTTGGCGGTAATGGAGAGGATGATAGTGGTAAGGAGAGTAACTGGTGTGCTGCTGCTGCTGCTGGTAGTGGTGTTGCTGTTGCTCTTCGAATTCTTGATCTTGATAGTGTTTGTCCAAAATGACAATTTCTTCCTGTACGCTCAAAAAAGGCACCGTATCTGCTACGACTGCATGGCCCAAACTGATAGGATAATAGTGAAACAAGATTTGACATGCTCTGAACCTCATCTCTGATGTGCCTTGCGCGATGATATCCAAAAGGTCTATATAGAAATCAGGCTTACATATCGTCAAATACGAAATGGCACGATGAAAGTTGTATATAGAGTGTGTGTAATGGGTATATGAATGTTTCGAAAAATCATCCTTCAAGCCGTGTGTGTCTGACTTTAAAGCCAAGTAAGGATCTAGATTCTCAATCATGAAAGCCAGCAGCGGGGTGAAGAGAGCATAGGCATGATGGCTGTCCAATCGAAAATATTGCAAGCTGCTCACACTACTGTGCCCACCGGGAGAATAGGGCGACAATGGGCTGGCTGCGTTCACGATGTTGGGTCGCGTATCAATGGTAAGATGAGCCATTTTTGATGAAATACTTTTGACTTCATCCGTCTGTGAATTGTGAATATTGATGGTTGGTGTATTATGTTCCGCCTTGGGCTTTTTCTGTGCTTCCTCTAAAATCAAATAATTTTTCATCTATCAATAACATGCTGTCCGCTATAAATGTCTTTTTCGTTACTCTATACCTTGTCTGTCAACTTCTTGATGATCTTGTCTATTGCTTGTGTAGGAGCTCGGATTGTCTTTCAAATACATGAGTTTCGGTAGCAAGTTATCCAAATACATCGCGAGCAGTTTGCCTAGCATTTGTCCTTCGGAGAATGTCTCAAAGGCTGGTAAAAACTCTGTTCCTACATGGTATAAAGTGCTCGAATCATGACCTATCTGAATGAGTAGGTTGCCAATGTCAACCAAAACTGACTGCATGGAATACGAAGGGCGTGATGGTCTGGGATTAGGTGTTTTGAATCGACTGTCATTCAATAAGATATCACTTAGAACACTCAATACAATATCAAATTCTGTAGTTTTCTTTTCTGCTTTCGATAACATTGTCTGGATACTGTCGACAGCGTGGGACGGGCTGCCAAAACGAGGTGAAGGAGTGGATGAATTGGCTTTGGATGAGACTGGGGAAGATGTTGGTGTACGTTCTCTATTTGACAGATATTAGAAGAGATAACTATTACTGTTTCTTTCATACTCACAGCAAGCGTTATTTACATTTTATGTCAAGTTACCCTAAAAGAACGGGTATGCTTAGCCCAGCCTTGTGGCATACGAATAGTGCCGATCGCAGTTGAAACAGCAGATCTATTGTGTCATCATTGTCAAACTGTTCTTCTGTTTTCTCTCCACGACAAAGACTGCTCAAATAGACTAACGATGAGGGCGGCCTTTTTCTTCTGTATAACTTGCCCACAATATGGTGAATCATTTTTCGATACTCTTCTGCTTTAGGGGACAACTTTATATTATATTGTTGTATCGTGGAGTTGGATTGTCGTCTCACCGACAATCGATCATTTGAATGCATTGTGTCTTCACTGGGTGAATGAATGTTGATGATGGTGGCATTAAGTGGAGAATTGGGTGCTGTATTCGGCATGTTGGTTGGTGTAGGGTAATACTTTGGATGAAGCCTGGAAATGCAAGTATGATTTTGATTTCTTTTTTTTTTCATCAAAGAGGTTAAATTAGGATAAATCTGCGTGCATATTCAATTGGACGAAATATTTCAAATTTCAGAATTTTTCGTACCTGTGGTTAATGACTGGTAACAATTTAGTATTTATTGTCAAGAAGAGCTTATATGTTGCATATTAGTAGAGAATAGCTAGTGTTACAATACCTCCTTTATTGATATGGACATTCTTGTAAATGATCTCCCTCAGTTTAAAAAGTCGTGAAGAAAAGATAAAATTGCGGTCAGCCTGCTATGATTGTATGCAAAGCAAACACAAGATGTGTATCTCGTTACCCTTCGAAAGAATCCTCAACAACCCTTAGTTTCTGATCAGTCACTTCAACATCGCATTGGTAATGCTGTACTTTGGCCAACTTAAAATTGCTGGTTGAAAATATATATGTCGGCAAAAAATTAAGTGTGATATATAGTCATTCTGCTGTTTCTGGGTTTTCTTTCTTTTCTGGTATACTCCACTCTTCATTTAAGAAAGGATAGCAATAAGGCTAATGACGAGCTGTAGCTACGACAGTGATAATTGAATACCCTTCAACTAGAAATTCGTTCAAAGGATAATGCCACTGCTTTCATAATGATGCTAGATATGCTTGAATTAGGTCCTTGCGATCATAATATCCAAACATTATCCGTGCGAACCAAACTAGAGTTTTTAGTGCATCCATTACTTCTTGCTGCCATTCAATGATTTCTTTTCTGTGGCAAATATCCAAAGATACAAAGAAGCGGTTGAACAAGTAAAGTTATTAGTAGAGAATAAGCATTTGACAGGAGAATGATGACTAAACACACTTATAAGTCAATGCTTATTCTTGACTTCTTCTCATTGTTTTATATTTAAAAGTCAAATGGTCAGACGTATTATAATTGATATGTTGCTCTTTTTTAAACATTTGCGGGTAGTGATTCATTATCTTTTTTTGAAACTGATTACTCACGTATTTTGTATGGCTGTAATTATCACTGTATCCATTATCGAACTGTCATTAAAGTGCAATTGTATATTGGCGCGGGAGACTGATGCTGTGAGGGAGGCTTATTGTTTAATATTGCCAAGCAAGCACAGGGTTTTGTAACAACAACAACAACAAACAAAAAAAAAAAAAAAAAAAAAAAAAAAAAAGGAACCAGCTGACTAGACTCTTTCTGGTGCTGGAAGGTACCAAGACACGGATTGCAGAAACATGCAAACAAATTCCTGCGCATCATTTGAGAACTTTTGTACAGCACTCTTGTAATCGATCCGATAATTTCAGAAATAAAGTGCCTATTCAATATAACTCCATGCTAGAATTAAGGAAAAGCATGACATGCTTGCTATGCAATGCTCAATATATAGCCGTATGTTTACTCTTGACCGTCGTTAACCGACGTACAATTGTGAGGGGCTGGGCTTGTTGCACATTTCTTTTTTTTTTTTATTGAGCAGCACAGATTATAAGTAAAAGACCAAATCAAAGAATAATATATATCGAACGCGTTCGTAATCATATAAATGCATAGGGGTACAAGCATTCCATACAAAACCATCAAAGTTTATACACGTAACTATAGCAAATTGGAGCTTTTCTTCAAGATCAAAGAGTTTATGGCAAGTAAGGTAATAGAAAAAATTCCTTGTTAATGAGTAATAATAACAATAAAGGTTGCGCCACCTTCTTGTAAGTTCATTCTTTGCCTTGAATCTCACAACTTTATTCCATAAACAGGTGGACTATGGTATGTTGGGCAATGGGTATAGCTGTGATATACTCTGAGGAATTCCTTGCCTCTTGAAAGCATCAGCAAACCCTAAATAAAAAAAGTGTTTAACGTTGATAAGTCGATATCCGCTGCTTCTATCTTGAATAGTGAGAACATACACACTTCCCTTTCAGACAGCTTCATTCATTCATCTTGCATTTGAGAAGCAATTTCAATCTGAAAACTACCAATTCCAAAGAAACAACCAAAATAAGTCACCGCAATGGAGTGGAGTGGTCAAGGCAAAGGATAGCCTCCAAGGATTCAGAATTGAGTAGAGCTAGGAATAAATTTGCCTTCATAAATCCTTCAGTAAAAAATTCCTATGTGTCCCCTTTCAGGCAAGCTCTAGCTTCATCTAACCATCTTGCTTTTAGAAGCAATTTCAATCTGAAAACTACCAATTCCAAAGAAACAACCAAAATAGGTCACCGCAGTGGAGTGGAGTGGTCAAGGCAAGGATAGCCTCCAAGGATTCAGAATTGAGTAGAGCTAGGAATAAATTTGCCTTCATAAATCCTTCAGTAAAAAATTCCTATGTGTCCTCCTCAGGCAAGCTCTAGCTTCTAAAGATGGAAGAACAAGTGCTGCTCCATCTTGTTACTCATGTCGAAAACTTATCATTGTAAAAATTCAAACTCAAACTATTTAGGTTTTTGTTATTTGCACTTTACATGCACACCTTGGAGTGAAGGGGTTTAGTCCTTTGACTTTTGGTAATAATTCGAGCCCCCCCCCCTCGAAAACTAGTGCACATAAACTAGTGCAAATACGCATTCATTTTTATTCTTTCTCCCTGATTATTATGATTAGAGATTATTGTATTTTTCTTGCGCATAGGAATTATCAACAGGGGGCAGAGCTTTGCCAGGGTCAACGAATAAAAGGGGTTTTACAATGAAACTGTAATACTAGGGAACTCAATTGAATAAATTGCTTTCCATAAAAAAGGTTACCATTACGATTTAAGATTTGTTATCCTTAAAACACCCTTTGTGAACACATAGTCGATGGAGATTCTGTCGTATTTGAGGCACGATGGTAATATATTTGCAAGGAGTAAATCACTCACAACGTTCAACGAAATATTGAAATAAGACTTTGATCTTGAATATTAGTACTGTTCATATCTTCGTTCCCGTTTGGTAAGCGGTGTGTTCGATTGCATACATATGAGCTTCAGGTCAAATGTATCAAATAAAGCTAAAACAATATTAGTGTAATGGCAGTGATCTATTGAGTACGCTGAAAGACCCTTGCCCAGAACGACACTAGATATGGTGTTAAGAATGCTCTGAATAGATAAGTTACAACAGAATTAACACTTAGAATAAGATTTATTAACGTAAAGTGCAGATAGTATTAACTAAACAGAGAACATATATAAACAGATAAAGCAGATCAAAACACTACTGCAACTGAATATGAATATAGGATAGTTTCATATATGATGCGTCTGAAATGTATCCAATGAGGAGGCAGATGGTCATTACAATTAGGATCAGCCACAAGTGTAGCTTTACGGTTGATCTTTTCGCTCGATTTTGCAGATCCCTGGAAGAACCAGATTTGCCTCCTTTAGATTAATAACTGTTGGGAAGATCTCGTTGCTCTTCTACTCTATGGAATTGCATAGTAGAAAATGTAGCGGATATTGCGTTTGCTACGTTTAATGGAGGAAGAATCATCGACTAAACGCTCGTTCTGAAGTTCCTCAAATTCAAAGTTGTCCTGCCAAATGAAGAAATAGTTCTTACAGCACGCTCATAAAATCAGCACTTGCTTGTTTCCAAGTAGCAAAAGGAACGGTAAGTATTGCAAGAATAGGGTTGTATCTTTTGATACTGATATATAACAGGTTTCTTGGACGTTATGGAGTTCAGTATATAATCAAGATGTTAATCTTTGCTATTTGAATAAAACTAAGTTGACAATAGATCAAACACAAACAATTGAAGAATATTTAAGGTGATGTTTTCTAGTAAAGTACATCTGTAACGAGGGGTAAACACGTAAATTATGAATATAACTCAAGCTTAAGATGATTCCCTTCATTCTTATCTGCTACTGTTTGAACACACCTTTTATACACCTTTTACTAAATTTAAGGTATTGTTCTGTCTGAAAAAGGGCTATACTGTATCCATGGTGCAAATATTGATCTTGTAAGTGTAACGTCAAACGAGTCAAAAGACTTGGCCGATTTGACCTCGAATACGTAAATAGTCTTTTGTTACTTTTTCATGTGGTTTTTTAGCAGGATTTTATTTGACTAAACTGTGGACCACTAACTACAGTATTTTAACTAATATTTTAGATGAAATACTTTTTTTTTGGACAATTAGTATTTTAATTTTAGATGAGTTGCAACTGTGTTGTAGACGAAAATATAAACCGTTTAAACAATAATTCAAATTCCAAAAACTTGTCAGTAGTGTGAAATGGCTCTTCCCAACTCCCAACACTTTTTTTGGTCAGCGGAGTCCAACTCGGTCTCCAAGCCCAAAAATCATTCTAAATGCTCCTATGCCCAAGTGGTCACGGCGTCTAAACGTGTTTCGCTGATGCATAAAGGCATCGAAGCTCCTGATATTGATGAAGGCACGACTTATAGTCGCCTTCAAACACGTGTCTATAGGTCCTCACGTACAACGGGGCTTTGTTATTATCTATTTCACCGGTTCTCAAAGAGTACTCCGAACTTCAGTGTATGCAATTAGTCAAGGAACAGCACCCGGAGGTATATGGGTGCACCATTGCAAACGACGGTAGTAACAGATATCTTGAGATATATATCCAGAAAGACAGTAATGATCTCGCTTATAATGGCGTCAAGTTTCCCAAAGCCAAACTACAAATTCTTCCCTGCCAAGCTATCGATGACACGAAAACGATTACTAAAGTCACTCTCACGAATTTACCTATGTTGCCCCCCACCGAAGTATTGGCTGGTTTACAAGAAAGCCTTAAACCGTTTGGAGACTTAGTTGACATAGGCATCGTTACTGAACCTACCACCGGCCTGTTCATGGGATCAGGTTACGCTGTACTAAGCACAAACCCCACCGACTCCACAATAGTTCAATTAGCACACACTGTTATGTGGCAAAACACAGATGAAGTCTTCCATTGTACTTGGAACAACATGCCCACGTGGTGCC